CTCGACGGTTCTTCGGTCGGCGCGGCAGTCGGGCCTTCGGTCGGCGTGTCTGGCGAGTCGAGGTAGCACGCCACATAGGGCTTGCCCCATGCGACGCAGCTGTCCTTGTCGACGTCGTTGAAGCAGTAGCCACCTTCGGCGCTCTGCATGTTGCAGCCGACACACTTGTTGTTGTTGCACTGGCCGTCAATGCACGCGCAGTCTTCATTGGCAGCAACGAGCACCGCGAGTGCGAGCGCGAGGAAGAGCTTCATGGCAAATTGGAGAATGAGAGTCCGGCTAGCATGCGCCGGTCTGTATGTAGCGCGAGTGCGCTGCCTCCGCAGACCCACGTGGCGGCCAAATCGAACCGGCGGCAAAACAGATGGCGTGACCGCCCGACCTCGCTCAATGCACGCATAGGCATTCGATGCGGGCCGGCGACGCATGCCAGCGCGTGTGCCAACGCCGCCATCCACCCAGCAGCTTGCTTGCGTCGCTGCCTCGGCACCCGCCGGCGCCGACATTCCCGCACACCAGCGGCTCGCTGCCTCTGCCGAGTGACAGTCGGCCGTCACTCGCAGCAGCACTAATGACTGTACTGTTGGAGCACTGGGGTTTACGTATTTTATAGCTTGAAATTTGTATGTGGCTTTGATCCGAGACATCTATTTCATCCTGTCAAGTGCATGCCGGGAACCCACGTGGCGGCACCACGGACAAGGACGTCACGTGCATGAGGGGGGCAGTGATGATGGTGGCGGCAAAATGCGAGGATGACAGCACTTGGGCTTGGGCAAAGCTGCGAATGTCCCTTGACACTGCTGGTGGGCTCCAGCGCTGTAGCAGACATGCATTGCACACGAAATGTGGTGTTGAAGTACCAAGAGCAGCAGAACGGAAGCTGCGGTTGTGTTCCGCAGCACCAGCCTCAATGCGCTGCTGTCGTTATCACGGGTGGTCGGTGCCTGCCCAACAGTGCGCGTCAGCAAAACGACCACAAGGTTGGGTATTGCATTCGACTTTGTACATTTTGCCATGCGTCGAGGTTGCAGCTGCGCTTGACTACATTAACTTTAGCTATAGAACGTTGGACTTCACATAGCGTTTGAATCTCGTTCCATGGGGGCGCTCGATTGTCGGTCGCTGGAAGTGAAAGTTGGTCTGCGACGAAGACACATTGCAGCGCCAACTACGGTCCCTGTTCGAGCGTGAGGCGAAGTTAACCAGGACGGTATCTTGGCAACCATCAAAGACCAACCGTCAGACAGGGGACTGGAGCTCACTGGGGGGACTAAGGCTCACAGGGGGACTAAGGCTCACCGGGGGACTAAGGCTCACAGGGGGACTAAGGCTCACAGGGGGACTAAGGCTCACAGGGGGACTAAGGCTCACCACCAACGAGGGTGCTTCAAAGCCAAATGAAAACGGTCAGCCAATGTACGAACTGCTGCCACGGGGCGACAAGGTCGTGTGAATATTTTGAGCTTCGTCGGTCGCAAGACTGTACGCTCCATGTATGCCGACTGGGCTCGGAAGCAGGCCCAGTCCAGTGCGGCCCATCCCTGTATGCAGCTACACGCAAAACCTTGTCAGCGCTCTAATGTTAGGCTTGTAGCTCTTTGCCTGCTCCGAGCAAATGGAGCTATCGGCACGCTGACGGCGAAATGCTTCCATTTGCCAGGGTTTGGAGTGCAGTACTACTAAGCGGCAGCTCCTCGGAGACCGCAGTACGTACACTGTTGCTCAAGCCGGCTTATGCTAGCGGTGTTGACCCTTCCTTGTCCATTCCAGCATTTTGATTCAACCTCGCATTTCTCGGCTCCCCTCGCTCCTAGTGCTACTAGGATTTTCCCGCGCTCTCCTCTCCCGCGAATTCAAATCCGTTTCGAATGGGTTTCAATGGTTGGGCCCACTATGGCGCCATCTCATTGGCTAGCATACATAAACATGATTTGATTGGCAGTTCTACACCATATCGGATGGTGATTGGCGGAATGTTTCTGCAGATTGGCCCAGCGACCAACTCATTTCTGAATTCACATTCCTCAAGACATGTCTGGCAAGGGTAAAGCTACGGGTGGCCGCGGTGCCAAGGGCAAGGCCTCGTCGCGCTCGTCGAAGGCCGGCCTCCAGTTCCCGGTCGGTCGTGTCGCTCGTTTCCTCAAGAAGGGCCGCTTCGCCCAGCGCATCGGCGGTGGTGCCCCGGTCTACCTCGCCGCTGTCCTCGAGTACCTCTGCGCCGAAATCCTCGAGCTTGCCGGCAACGCCGCCCGCGACAACAAGAAGTCGCGTATCATCCCGCGCCACATCCAGCTCGCGGTCCGCAACGATGAGGAGCTCAACAAGCTCCTCGGCGACGTGACGATCGCGTCGGGCGGTGTGCTCCCCAACATCCACAACATCCTCCTCCCCAAGAAGACGGCGCCGACGACGACGCCCGTCAAGGAGAAGAAGACCAAGTCCTCGGCGTCGCAGGACTATTAAATGTCCCTTGCATCCTGCCGATCGTGATGAACATCGCGGTCGCGCATTCCACAACAACCTGGCTTTTCTAAAAGCCACCCATACCTTGAGAAAGGTTATCATCCTCGTGGTAGCTATGTATATCCTTCGTAGAGCTAGCACGACGCAAGAATCGAACGACGGGCTGCAACAGAAGACAACTGGACATTTATTAGGCTCACAATGGCGGAAGCGTTGCAACAAGTTGTCGCACGTGAGGGCTGTGGTGGGCAATGACGCCAAAGTGGCCAAACAGCTCAAGTTCAAGCACGCGCTTTTGACGGCGCAGTGCTTCAATCGCCTCGCCCTGGGACTCGAGACTGTCATAGTCGTCGGCGGCGATCGCGGCCTCGAGGGCCTCTTCCTTCTCCGTGATCGCAGCGTCCAGGGGCGCGATGGCTTCGGCAATCTTGGCGCACTGCGCATGACGCTCGAGAACGATGCTAGAGATATCGAGAGTCGTCTCGGGCTGCACGAGTTGCTTGACGACAGGCAAGTACGCAATCGCCTCGGCCACTGCGTTGGTCCTAGTATCAACGTCAGCTAGTCAGCTTCCTGTGGCAGATTCGTCGTACCGGGCCTCAAGGGCTGCAGTATATTCGCGCTCGAGCTCGGAATGCTCGTCTCGCACACGCTGTAGGTCGTCCTCGGACGCACTGGCCACGCGGGCGGCGTGCACATGGAGCTGCTGGCTTGCCGTGACCACCGCCTTGTTCCAGCGAGTGTACTTCTCCACGAGCACGTCGCCAAGGACGTCTTTCTGAGCATGTTCGGACGCGTCCAGCGACTGCAATCCCTGCGTGATCTCGAGAACGCTGTCGGTTGGCTGCACATGCGTGGCTTGCGGCGACTCGAAGGACAAGTCGACGACCGAGGCCGTCTGCACCGGCGGCGAGACGAATGCCCCGTTCTTCATTCGCGCGCGCGCCTTGATGGCTTCCTACGGTGCACGCTTGAGCCTTAGTACGACCAAGGCCGCGTACAATGGTCTTTCGCATCTCGTCTTGCACCTTGGCGACAAACTCTGGTGACCACGCCGTCTGCAACAAGGCTGTGCCACGCGGACCTAGACGCCCGCATGCCCCTCTGCACTCTGCGGCAAGCGCGTACCCTGCAGTGCAAAGCATCGGTGGTTGGCGTGATGGTTCGTGCTGCAACGCCCGCACACGTGGCGGTTGCAGTCGAGACACCAGATATCGACGTCGTTCGCGCAGCACGTGCACGCATCTGTGCAAGCGTGAGTCAACCGTTCTGGCAGCGTCGTCAGTAGTATCTGCGTACGCTTCGTGGTTGTGGGCGACCCGTCGTGGCGCTGGTGGCATGCAAGGCCGTTGGGCAGGCTCCAGCAGCGCGTGTTGGGAATGGGCTCGAGGTGTTGCACTACCATAGAGCATAGTACGCGCCATGAGCGGCGACGGCGACGTACTCGTCGGCAGCTTCTCGCCAAACTGCATGACCGCTCGCTTCATCGGCGCCATCCACGCCATGCTTGCTCGAGTGCACGGCCCAGCCAGGCTCTTGGCAACTGGCCTTTTTTCATTGGCTGTAATTCAGCCAATCCAAAGGCGACTCGAGCTTTGACAGCATCATGCCTCGACAGAGCCATCGCTCGTTGCTGGGGCGAGCGGTGGGCAGCGCCGGGCCACTCAACAGACAGAGCTGTTGGCTGAAGAAGCATCGGCGCCATCCACGCCATGCTTGCTCGAGTGCACGGCCCAGGCTCTTGGCAACTGGCCTTTTTTCATTGGCTGTAATTCAGCCAATCCAAAGGCGACTCGAGCTTTGACAGCATCATGCCACGACAGAGCCATCGCTCGTTGCTGGGGCGAGCGGTGGGCAGCGCCGGGCCACTCAACAGACAGAGCTGTTCGCTGCAAACGACCGGGCGCTGTCGACTGCTGCACCCGCCGTCCCTTGCCATGGGCTATTGATGGACGCATTGACCAACCCAAGACGACCGGAACTACGATGACTGCAGGGCGTCGATATACTAAGAGCAGCAGCGCGCCTAGGCTACCGAGAAGAACGTTGTCTTCGCGCCTGGTGGCAGTCGACACGGTGCGGACCAACGAAGCCTCAGTAGCTCAGCACGTTGGACTGTTGTAGGATGCACATCTCTGGCTTGTTGCTTTCGATCTTACGAGAAGGCCCATGTTGTTCTACTAGCAAGGACGTCTAGTCGAGCAAGGTGGGGACTTGACAGCGCTGGATTGAGCCGTCTGAGTGGCTCGTGTAGAAGAAGTCGTCGGTCGCAAACGCGTCCGTGACGCCCGTGATGGTCTACGTGCAACTAAGACTCTCATTTTCAACCCAACGGGTCGCACCGGCGCCACAAAGGCCGAGGTCGTGTCGCCCAGGAACGTGGCGACCACCGGCTTGGCCTTGCCCGTGAGCCACGATGCGAGCTCCCGAAAGAGCGGCAGCGCCCAAATCTACTTGCCATTCGCATAGCATCGATGCTGCCATTTGCCATGTACCTTGATGTCGCCCGTGGCCGAGCCAGAGAGCACCGAGTGGCCGCGCGGGTGCAGGACAAGCGTTGTAATCGCGCTGTCGTGGGCGGCCGAGACCGTATGCAGCATGCGCTGCCGACGCACGTCAAAGACGCTGAGCCCGCCGCTTTCGCCGCCCGAGATGAGCAGCTACACCCGTGAGTGCCAACTCAACACAGCGAATCGAAGGTACCTGGTGGCGCGAAGAGAACACGACAGCAGTCGCGCCCAGCGGGTGGCACAAGGGCGCGGAAATCAGCGCTTTTTGCGGCGGCAGGAGCGTGTCCCACAAGCAGAGACTCTTTTTTCTACAGCCCCAACCATGAAGAGCCATATCAAGGTGACATTGCTACTTGGTCGACGCTCCCACGGACGCGAGGCAGCTCGAGGCGTTGAGAAACGTAAAGTCGCGCGTCCCTCGGTTGTGGCACTAGGCAGCGTTGCATGCCTCCTCTGCATGCACAGGGTTGTACCTGGAGGTGCGCGTAGCACCCCGTCGCGCCCGAGCTCGAAAAGTTCCAGAGGTAGACAAACCCGACGTTGTCGCACGCGCCAAGCTAGATTCGAAAGCATATTCTTGCTGGCGTTGGGAGTATGGGAGGCGTACGGTGTGGCCGCTGTTCTCAAACCGAATGCGGTGGACGTCACGGCGCGGCGCAGCCAGCTGCGTCAGCGGATTGAGCTACAGACAACTAGTCCATGGAACCACCGACAGCCTTGTCGTACCGTCGGGACGTGGTGCTCAAAGCTGCCGAGCGGCGCTGTCGGGTTGTCAAAGCGCCAGAGATCCACGACGCCTTTGGTCGTGCCCGCGCAAAACACCGAGAGCGACGGGTGCGCCGTGAGCGCAATCGGGCGGTAGCTCGTCGACCGGCTGTCGGGCGTCGGCGACAGCGGATTGGCGGGCGTCGTCTTGGGCGACACCTCCATCTCGTTTGCAAACGCTGGCGGCGGCGAGAACCGCGTGTTGACTTGAAGCTACACGAGGTCGTGAGGGAGAGCTCCGGACGCGTCAGAGTACCTGGCAGAGGCTCGAGAGGTCGCTGGGTGGCGCGTCGCGACGCGGCTTCTTGGCTGTCGAGCGGTAAATGAACCGGCCGTTGCAGTGCACGACCGTGCTGCGCTGCTCGGGGTTGAAGCACATGCTTTTGACCGACTCGCCGGGCACTTGGCTCTTGTAGATGACCTCAATCGAGCTCGGCGATGGCAGCTCCATGCCGCTCGTCGTCGTCATGTTGTCCTGGGCTGCGTTGTTGTGGCCAATTGACGGTGCCAGCTGCAGCATCAAATGGCGCCACGGGCAGTGCCCCTCCGCAGCGTCGCTGCAAGGAGCGATCACGCGGGGAGAGCTTGCCGCCCACATCGTCCACTGTCGACTCAAGACGTCGTCAGGGTCGCCCAGAATCCGCGCTGCGTGCACGGCCATGCAGTGGTACGCGGCCGCCAGAAAGAGGCGGCTGCACGCGCACGCGTCCGAGTGGAGGGTCGCGGCCTTGGGCGGTGGCCACTTTGGCTGAAGGCTCACGAGCTGCTGCAGCACGGCATGGAGCGTCGGAAGGTCGTGGCGCAAGGACGCAGGCGCCTTCTTCGGCTGCCACACGTGGCACGTGTAGCACTTGTCGCTGGGCATCTCGTGGAGCTCCTTTTGCGGAAAGAGGACGTGGACCAGCCGACCGACACAGCACCGCTCGAGGCTTATTGTCGCGACACGGAGCGCGAGGCAGAGCGCGCTGTAGATACACGTCGACGCAAGCCGGATCGTGCTCGAGTCGGGCTCGATACCAAGCGCAAACACAATGTGCAAGTACTGCGTCCAGACGATCGCACCCCGAAGCGCAGCCCACGGCGCGCCACCCGCGAGCACTGTGTTTAAAAACGCTTGCAGCGGTGCAGTCACGCTGCGGGCCGTGCCAGTCACATGCGTGGCCAACACGTGAATGAGCGGGAGGTCTTGTCGAAGGTGGTCGTCAATGTCGAGTAGGCGCACACTCGCAAACGCGTCGAGCTCCTCCTGCAGGTTGATGAGCAGCGGACCGAGCTCGCTAGCGTCCTTGGTCTCGAACGAGGCGGTGGTTGCAACGACGAGGCGCTCCGAGACCGCGGCGAGCTGGCTCGTGACGTTGGCAACCTTTGTGTGCTGCAGCATGACGGACGCCATCTCTGGAATTGCAAGGCTCCCAAAGCTCTCTGAGAGGTCGCTGCAACAGCGGTACGCGGACCGCGTGAGGCCTTGCGCCAAGAGGCGCGACGCTGCCTACGACGCAGGTAGGAGTCGGTACAAGGCAAGTGCGCTTGTACCTTGACGTGCAGGGCAACAACAAGCTGCGTGTCGGCGTCGCTGTAGACGCGCCGTGTAAAATCGTAGCGCACGAGGGCACAGGCAGCGTACAACGACTGGTTCATGTCGCGCCAGTACATGGTCGACGTCGTGTCAAAGCCGCAGCGCATCGCGGTGGTCGGCGGCGTCAACAACGTCATGTACGGAAACTCGCCGGTGAGTAGCAGCTGCGCCAGCGCCTCCAAGTACACGTCCCCGCACGCTTTGGCGCGCGAGAGCACCATGTTGTTGAGCACTTGGGTCGTGATCGGACCGCGCGCGTCGGCTTCAGCAAGCTTGCAAATCAGAAGTGAGAGCACGAGCGTCGGGTCGGCCGCTTCGGCCATCGCGGCGGCTTCGTAAATCTTGCTGCCAAGAAGGAAGAAGGTGGCCGCCAGCATGTACCTACATACCCGTATGGCATCGCGAGACACTGTATATACAAGTGTACCGGCCCTTGGATTTGAGCACAAATGCATTCTTGATGGCCGCCGTGCGCCACCGGTCGTCGTCAAAGTCGTTGGTGAGGAGGTCGGCGATCTTGTTTTCTTTGGCGAGCCGGAAGAGGCCAGCAAGGAGCCGCGTTTTGCCCAGCAGCACGTAGTAGAGCGCGACGTCGAACGGATCTTTGGAGGCTACGAGGATCAGAAGAAGTCGAATGACGACGAAGAACGTACCTGCATACGCCGACTGCGCGACCTGCTCGGTCTTCTCGCGCAATTTGGCTAAGTCGTCGAGCCAAAAGGGCAAGCGGAGATCGCGCATCTCGGTCCACGTCCACTTGGTCGGCGAAAGCCACGGCAACGCGGTCAAGAAGTCCATTTTCGAGAGCCGCGCCCAGAGCAGCGCCTCGGCGCTCAAGCCAGCGTACGCCTCTTCGCGCCAGCGCAAGGCCAGCGCAAACTTCATGCCAGGAACATCCTCGACGTCATCAACGACGTGCAGCATGGCCGTGAGCGACGTGAGCGTCTTGGGATCGGGAATGCCGAGCAATGCCACGCGCGCGGGCGTGAAGAACGCCTCGTAGTCGACCGTGCTCTCGCGAGCTGGCGTCGTTTTCAGCGGCACGCGCGGGGCAAACAAGAGCGCGGCGCAGTCCTTTGGCGCCGACGACCGACTCGCCCCGCTCGGTGTCCAGAGATCTTCCCTGCCCGAGGCCGGGTCGAGCATGATGCGAGCCCACGTGAGGCGCGGCGGCACATACACGGGCGTCGCGTGCATGTTGACGTAGCACGTCTCTTCGTACGCTTCGATTGATACCTTGAGCGCCTCCAAGAAGCGCCGCAGTGCTTTGAAGGCGCCGCGCCGAAGCAGCTGAAACAGCAGTAGCGGCGGCCATACACTTGGCGATGCACGCTCTTGGGGCAAGACGACGGCCCGTGTCAGTAGCGCACCTCGGCTCATGTACAGTGCGCTATCGTGGAGAAGTAGGGTTGTCGCCGGCGGCAGCGCCATGTCCATCGTCCAGAGCACGGTCGGACCGTTGTAGAGCGTCAGCTGGACGCCGCGCGCGAGGCAGAGCACGAATGCGTCCTGAAGCCACGCGATCGCGCTCGTCCGTGCGTCGACTGTCCACTTTGACGTCGCGACCGCATCGTACGGTGTGTGCACGCAGACGGTGCGGCTGTCGCCCGCGCGCACTCTCGCTGGGTCGCTCTCGTCGTCGAGAAGGAGCGCAAACGTGCCGTCGACGCGCTGTGCAAGACGCTGGAAGACGCATTTGCTCAAGGCAAAGCGGTGCAAGACGGCGCCCGTGGCGACCGACCACGTAGCAAGCGTGCACGGCGCCGAGACCGTGAGGAGAAAGGCACCGGCGCCCAAGGCATATTGCTCCATGAACACCACCGCCGTGCAGTCTGTCGCCCACACGGAGGCGTCTGTGAGCAGCAGCGGCGACCGAGAAAACATCCAAACATACACGCTGCCGTCGTCACCGAGGCCGAGGAGCGTCGTGGGCAGCACGACGAGACGACGCAGGGTAGACGCTGTCGTTGCAAGCGTGAGGATATTGGCCTTAGTATGATTGTCGTAGCCGCAGAGGGCGAGGATCTCGCTGTTGGCCGTCGCACACAGAATGAGGTCGGCGTCGAGGAGAGCGACGGCCGTGACGACCGAGTTTGTCGATCGAAACCGCGTGTGCGTCAGTTCAAGATGCTGGTGGGCGAGCTTTGCAAGGGTCGCATCGTCGCTCAGTACAAAGAGCGTCTCGTTGGCGTCGACGAGCCCGAGAGTCGACGTCGACGACGCCACAACCGCGGCAATCGGGGCATGGGACGCCATGCTGGGGTAGACATCCGTCACGGAAACGAGGTCGAGTGCTCCGGCAACGCGTAGCTGGATGCGCTGTAGCTCGCCGATCGGCATCGACTGCAACAGAATATCGACAACCGGAGCGCTCGCATCTAATGCAGAGTCTGCTCGCTCCATCTCTGCGATAGACCAAGCAGTACCATGCGCGGTAGGAAGCCACGAGACGTCGTACAGCGTTGCGGACCGAAAGAGCGTGCGCAGCCCCGAGAACGTTCCGAGCAAAGTGCTCCGTGGCGTCGCATTCTACTTCGGTATGGGTTCTACGATTCGAGTCAAGAACAGACAGTGTACCAGGAGCGAGACGGCGTCGAGGCGCCAAACACACACGTCGCCATTGTCGAGGACGCCGTAGAGGACGTACGTGGCAGCGTGCTTGTGCAAGGCAACGTTGCCAGGAATGAACTTTTCACCTACGCACCATAAGTACAACCATCGCAAGCTCGAAATGGACCTTGGTGCGTGTCGGCCGTGGCGCCGGATCGGAAGAAGAAGCCCGTCGCTTGACCGACGCCGCGTTGGTCCATGCTGGCGTCGTACACCAGGTGCTTGGACTCGGTCTTGGGCGCGAGCTCCCAAAAGCAGAGCCCGTCGGCGAGCGTGGTCCGTACAAGCGGGCGCGGCTTGGATCGCGCCACGAGCCCGCACGCGATGAGGTTGACCGACGAATACTGCGAGAGGATCGCCGTCGTATCGATCGCCAGCGTCTGAAGAAATGCGAATGGGCTTGCGTTCAAGTCTTCTCGCCACAGTGTCAGCTGGCCGCGCATGTCGAGTGTGAGCAACGACGCGTTGTCCCCTCCTTGGGCCCTCGCGTCGAGCCATTCTAACCGGCATTGTCAGACGGGGAAGTATGAATGGCTGTCGCTACCCATGGAGCGGACGGCGCGAGCATGGCCCAAGAAGACGCACGGTGGCGCAGCGGTCTCGGACGGCCAAGCGTCCATGCACCAGACCTAAGAACGTATATAGCCAAGCGAGAGACGGCTGCGCAAACACACCTTGAGAAGGCGAGAGTGCGCTGTGGCGCCCGTCGCGATGTAGCGACCGTCTGCGGCGGCAGCAAGCAAGTGTACAGGAGCACCCGCGCGCAGGTCAAACGATCGGTGGGCGTAAACCGTGACGGCGTCATGAACGACCTTCCACGATGTCATGCGCGTCCCCGCCGCGACGAGCGTGAGATCGTCATTCGTCTCGCACCACTGCAGAGGCGCTTGCATATCGGCCTCGCACCTAGGCATGGTATGCCATACATGTTGCATAGCTGGGCTACGTACCGCCACGTTGCCTCGCACTGCCATTGCGCATCGTCGTCGTTCAGCGGCGACGATCCGTGGGCAATACCAAAGAGCATCGCTCGCCCATCAACGCACGCCACAGCTACGCGAAGCGAGCTTGCATGCAGCGCAATGCTCTGCGCCGTGGCTGGGAGTGGCAGGACTTGATGCGGCTCAAACGGATTGGCTGTCGATGGCTCTGCATCGGACCCTCGGAGCAGTGCACCTCGGGACACCACCAGCACCATCGAGGCCTCCGACGTGTGGAACATCCACCTGTAGTTGAAGTGGTCGCATGTCGCGACGAGCGCCCGGCTGGCCGCCGCAGCGCCGACGCAGGTCACCCGCTCTTCGAGCATGAGGCGAAAAACCGAATCCAAAATATATCCGGATAACGAGCCCCAGTGTATCCGGAATACAGCCAAGGCGTCGTCCCAAGTGTCCCGAAATAGTGTAGAAACACTATAAATGGTTGCCACATCTTGACAGCGCATGCAGACAGCGCAGCATGTACGCTCGTATCCAGCTTGCACATGCCTTTCATACATTATGGAAGACTGCAAGAAGGTATCACTCGGACTAGGGACGACGCTGACGACCTGTGACCGGTGGACGGTTAAATGCACTTAAAATAGTGTACGACACGAAATAAAATGAATCGAATTTGGATTTCCGATTTGAGCGCGAGAGATCATGAGCCGGTCGTTCCCGCTGCCGATGCGCTCGGACGCGCGGAAGACGGGAAGATGGAACCTCCGACCGGGGCCCCGGACGCGCTCCATGCAACCCTCGATCGACCCGGAGGCCGTGGACATGGCCGCGCTCCATGCGCTTGTCTCGGCCGTCCCCCCATCGCTCCTGTACGTGCATGCAACCTCGATGGATGTAGTTCATGGAAGTCGTGTTCTGGTAGACCAACGCATGGAAGCACCCCCCCAAGCATGGATGACGCTACGGAACCATCCATCTCCCCCTTGCTCCGCATGGCGGTGGCCCAGAACGTGCTTGCACCCGCGACGACGCGAAGCTCCGCGAAGCGCAAGTCGGCGATGATGGACGACTCGGCGCGAAAGGGGAAGCGCTTGGCGCGCACGGAGTCCGACCCGAGCCTTCTCGAGACGCAGGAGACCAAGCTGGCGTCGAGCGTCGCAAAACATCAGGAGACTCTCGAGCAGTGGTCGATGGACTTGGCCGACCCGCGCAGTGCGCACCGCGCGACAAAGAAGATCCGTCACATGCTCTACATCATGCACAAGTCAAGCAAGCTCGTGATCGCACGACTTCCGGTCGAGCAGCTCTTGGATCTCATGATCCTTCTTGACGTCCAGGTACACGCTAGCATCAAGTTGAAGTCGATACTACTGTGTGCAACTTAGGTCACGGAGGCTCGACAGATTGACCTCTTTGTGCAAGATCGTTCGGCAGATGAAGGGCGCCTCCTCGAAGACGTCAACACGGCTTTGGACGCAGCGACGTCGATGCTACTCGTCATGACGTCGCCGGACGTCGACCGCCGACTGCTCTCGGAAGAGCACATTGAGCATTGCGTCTTGCTTGTCAAGCATGTGCTCCAGCGGTTGATCTACCCTGCGCTGGACGCTGCAACGTACTCGGTCGTTGTGAGCGGGAAGGAGTCCAAGAACGAGAAGGACAAGGCGCACACGGCGCTCAAGAAGAAGATGGAGAAGGCCGGCCTTGTCGACATTGTCTACAGCTTCTTGGACTCGCTGCAAGAGCTCATGGGCTGCCTCAAGCTCCAGGACAGCTGGATTCTTCAACTTTCGAATGTGCTCATGGCCGTGTTTGCCATGGACAACCAGCAGACGTCGATCTCGACCGTGCAGCTGGGTGCACTTCGCATGCTTCGCGCGATCTTTGTGCACTATCCCGCCCACCGCACGCTACTCCTCGAAGACGTCTTTTACGTGCTCGTAAAACTCTCGACAAGCAAGCGCAACCTGCGTACGTACAAGGTGGACGACGACTACGTGCAAGTCATCGTGGTGCTTTTGGCGACGCTTGTGCAGTCGTGTATCGTGCTGTCGATGGACCAAGTGCACGAGACGGCGCGATCCGTTGTCCAGCTTCTTTTGCTCAAGTGCATGAAGAAGGACGAAGAAGTCAACGCACGCTTGCACTTTGAGCACTTTGTCGAGGACGTTCTCGTGCTCCTCTCGTCGCCGGACTGGCCTGTGGCCGAAGTTCTCGTCGAGGCGCTCGTTGCAGGTCTCACGGGCTTGCTCATGTCTAACAAGCCGGAGACACAAGTTGCCGTCTTGGCCCTGCACTTGCTTGGCAAGATCGCGGCGACGCTCAAGACGATCACGTGCCATACCCAAGCGTCTGAGAAGCGTCTTCTCCACAGTATGGAAGAGAGCCACGTGACGTCGGCCTCGGAGCTGCTGCTCGTGTACGTGCAGCAAAAGTCGGCCCACATCTCTGAAGATGCTCAGGCGTTCCATCTCTCGCGCGTCGACGAAGGTTTTACGCCCACCTCGTCGTGCAACTTGAACCGCGACGAAGCGCGAAGCGTCGTCGGCTACTTTTTGGCCAGCCGGGAGCTTTGCGGGCATTTCGAGACGATCTTTTTGCACATCCTCGGCTTCTTGTCGCGCGGTCAATCTACGCTACGCACGCGTGTTCTGCGTTCCATCGTTGGCATCATTGACGCGGACCCGACCTTGATGACCAGTGAAGCGCTGCAGAAAGCGATCACGAGCTGTTTGATGGACGAGTCAAATGCCGTGCGCCAGGCCTCGGTCGAGCTCGTCGGCAAGTATGTCGAAGACCAGCCATCTCTGGTACGACAATTCTTTTCTTCATCTGCGTGACCCAGCTTGCTGATGGAACTATGCATGTAGTTTCCTCGCTACGCCGAGATGCTCCATGATCGCGTGCGTGACAAGGGCATCAGCGTTCGAAAGAGCGTCCTGAAGATCTATCGCCACTACATTGTGAACGAATTCGACGTGGCCAACGCAACCGTCTCCACGTGCCTCCGGACTTTGATCGAGCGGCTCGCGGATCCTTCCGAAGATGAGACGATCAAGGACTTCATCGTGTCGACGCTCCAGGAAGTCTGGTTTGACGAGGACCTGCCTGCACTGCAAAAGCGTGACGCAGATGGCGCTGTGATCCCGGCTAGTCTTCTGAAGCTCAAGTCCAAAAAGACATCCGACTACGGCACGTATCGCGTGCTCTCGATCATGGAAGTCGTTCAGCGCGTGACCAAAGCCGACTGGTTTGTCGAACTCATTCAGCGGCTGCGCAAGATCGCAGGAGACGACATTGATGAGTACTGCGAGTCGATTGTCGCAGGCCTTCTTGACCTCCTCCTACAACTCGAAGAAGGCACGGTGCTGCCCCACCTGACTTGCCGAGGTTGGCACAACTTTTACCGAACGATTCTGAATCATTTCAATCTTGTAGAGCCCGACAAGCAGTTTGTCGCCACGCTCAAGACACTTCACGTGTTTTGCTCGGCGATCCCTGAGCTCCTCGAGCCCTACAAAGACACCCTTGTGGTGTATCTCAAGCCAGACAGTCGGTTCAACCGCGATATTCAGGCCCAGGTCTTCGCGTTGACGATCAGCATGATATCGCTGGTGTTTTCGGCCATGGAAAAGTCAAGTAGGGCGATATATGCTTCTGAACGGCAACTCACACGCAATGTAGACGAAACCTGGATCGGCGCCCTAGAAGCGGACTTGCAGGCGCTTGTGCTCCAAGCTCCACCAGGTGTCGTCAAGCCCAGCGTCGAATGCCTTGCGCGTCTTGTTTTGGACGCACCCACGAAGCGTCAACCGACCGTGCTTTCCCATCTCCTCGAAAAGTTTTACACCTTCCTCGTGAAGGTTTGGATATACGACATAAGGTTGATGTGCTCACAAGACTCGTAGATGGAGCCGATCTTTAAGAGCAATAGCCCGAGTCTCGCCGCTGGCCAGCAGTACCAACTGCAACGCGCGCTTTTTGTGACGGGCCTCATTTGCGGCAGTTTGGATTGGGACGTCTACGAGAACCTCAACATTCGCATCGAGGCGGGCAAAGTGCGCCATGAATGGGACCACGTGATGTGTTTTGACGCGCATATTTTAGATTCTCAAGCGTGTCTACAGCGTGTACTATCGGTTTACGCTCTTGCCGGAGGCGCATCCGTCATTCACAGTCGCGTTTCAGGTGAAGAACGTGCAGGGCTTTGGCTTCCTCTTCCATCGCCACCCGCGGCTTTTCCTCAAAGCCTATGAAGATGGCGTCATCACTAAGATGCTGGCCCACGAGTGCGCCAACGTCCAGCTCCAAATGGTCGTGAGTCTCACAGAGCTTCTCGAAGCCGAGGAAGCTCGCCTCGAGAAGGCACAAGCCGCCAAAAAGCAGCACAAACAGCAAGTCCAAGGCGACCAGCAAGGCGACACGTCGCTCATTGGAAGCATCATGCAAGCTCAACTCGGCAACATTTTGGCGCTTGCGATGCACGAGCAGACCATGATCCGGCGCCAAGCGGTGGCGTGCATCGGTTTGCTCGTGACCCAAGGCGTCATCAACCCTTTGGAGTGCTTTGCGACCCTCGTCACCTTGGAAGCCGACGGGGTACGTCGCGTCCCACTATCGAGTGGCTCGTCTTAAAATCGGTAACATCATAGGTTGCCGTGGTGCGCGATGCAGCTTACCGCAATCTCGAAGAAGCGCTTATCAAGTGCAAGGCTAGCGTCGTTGCCCCCGCCGTGCGCGGGATCTACCAGTCGTTCACGTTTCAGCTCAAGATGACTGGCGCTTGGACCGTCCAGGACGCGTCAAAAAACGTAGGGGATCCGCTCTGCGATTGGTTCTCATGTGTGCGAACGCGTAGTGTCTCTTTGGTCGCATGTACCAGCTGTGCATGCAGCCGGATCGCGCTCGCCGTCACTCGTTCTTTAACGGACTTCTCGTCCACTTTCGAGAGAAGGGACAGATCTTCCAGTCCATGGCGAACGGCAGTTTGTCGCGCGAGAGTGGTCTTTCGTACTTGTCGTACACTGCGTCGATCCTCGCGTGGCTTCCGTTTGCGACCGAGGACGAGCCACTGTACCTCATCCACACGATCAATCGCGACATCTCGCTCCACTTGGAGTGCGTACTAGCTTTCATCCTGTGCAGCAGCTCATATTATACTAGGACTGTGCTCATCGCCGTCAAGAAGGCGTTTCCCAAGCTCAACTTTGACCACAAGTGGCCGATCCCGACGAAAGAAGAGTTTCCGGACAAGCTCACAAAGACATGCAACCTGGCTTTTGCACTCGCACTGCTTTTGCGCCTCAAGAGCCACCTCAAGAGCACGTACAGTCTCGACGACGACAAGTGCCAGACGTACCAGCCGTCGCGAAGCACAAAGACGCAGGACCAGCCCGTCGCGTCGTTCCTCGTGAGCCCCCATGTGCTCAAGATCCCGACATCAACCGCCGAGTACGCGTCGGGTTGGGCGAGCTTCAAGCTGCTTTGGCCCATCATCCAAGAGGACCAGAGCCAAATGGACTTCGACGTGGCAAAGGGGAAGAAGACACGCCGTCCGTCGTCGGCGACCAAGAAGCCCAAGGCGGTCCCAAAGGACGACGACGGCACGCGCGAAGCCGCAACGATCATGGTCTAGGACACGCTTGCATTTGATGGTATTCACGATAAGTTATGAGTTTTCGACTTTGGCGGCGTCGGGCTTGGCGGCGCAGATGCGAAACACAATGGTCTCGAGGCCCAACGGTGAAATGTGGTACAGTTCGGCCACGTCAATCACCGGCCGGAGGTCCGCGAGCCCTACGCACATGCTCAGACCATACGCTTGACGCATCATCATCGTACCTCGGTCGATGAGCTCCAGGAACGTGATCGCGCACCAAAACTGCTCCATCGGGTCGTTGAGCACCTGACATATCGCATGCATGACGCCGGCCGTCACCTGCGGGTCGTCCATGACCCACGTCAGCGCTACAATCGTCTATCAAGCCGCCGCGTAGGGAAAGCAGCGTACGCATCGCATCGGCGAGGTGGACGCGGATGTGCGCCATGTAAAAAGCCACGAGCGCTGGAAGGTCGGTCGCGCTGCTGTGTACGCGGAGCGCCATCTGCACGTCGGCGAACATGACGCGCTTCTCTCTTCGCACAAAGCTCCACGTGTCGGCGTCGACGTCGCGCACGAGCGGAAGCACGCCGCCCACCAAGCACCACATCGTCGGTCGGTAATTCATGGGCACGCCAAACTCGAGCGTCATGTGGATGAGCTGCGAGAGGTTCTCGACGAGGCTGATGCTGGGCTGCGCTTCGCCGAGGAGCGAGGCGAACGTCGCCTCGACCTCCTTCCCCTGCACGCCGAGGCTCTTGTAGTACGTAGCCCGAAAGTTGGCTTGCCGGGGCATTATGTTGTTGAGTTTGAGTTTGCTGTTTGAGATTGGAGTTGTGGGTGGCGAACTTAATGGAGCGTACTTTAGTGAGCAGAAGTGCATGTCAGTCAGTCTTGCCGACGATCGTATTTAAGCGAGACCGTGGCGTGCAGCCGCTCTTGGCCAAGATCGTATTTAATCGAGCACGTGGCGGCATGTCAGCGTTGCAGGTGGACCCTTCGTCGATCTGGGTTGGTATCCCTGTATGCAGCAGCAAAACACCGAGCGCCCGGCTGCGGTCGCAACGAAGCAGCCGCATCAAGCTCCAGAGCAGCGCCGTCGAGCTGCGCCACGAATTTGAACTGCTCTCGCTCGAGGCCGACCGACTCCGCACCACGTACACGGCGATGCAAAAGGCCAAGACCCTCCGCGCCTTGTGGACGCGGAAGCTCCTCATGGGAAGCATTCGCGCCAACAGCCGCCGTATCGACGACCTCTTGCGCTATGTGCGCTTCCTCATGACGACAACGGTGCCACGCACGGTCGCCTGCAACGTGCCCACGTGGCGCAACGCGGCCTTGTCACAGGATCCACAGCTGCGCCGCGCCGGCGCCATGTGGATGATGGATTTTCTCTATGACGCCGTCGACAAGGCGCTGGACGCAGCGAGCTTCCCCGTGTCCCGTGAGCCATGGCTCGCGTCGACGACCGAGGCGCTCGGGGTCTCATTCCGAGCGCGCATCTTCAAGCAGCACGTCTTGCGCGCCGACCCGGCCATGGTCATCGAGGCGTACAAGCGGATGCCGATGCTGTCGGTGATGGAGGTAGAGTGGGACTTTTCCTCTGCCCATCATGGGAATCTGTCATTATACCTACGGTATACCGAGAATTCTGGTGCTATTAGGTGCAGACCGTGCTCTTCAAGGAGCCATATCCCACCGTCTACTATTCATCGGTCCAGCTTGGCAACGGTAGCTGCTACAGCTACGTGACGCAGTTTCGGTGCGAGGAGCATCGGTGGCTCTTGCTCACGCAAGCGATCGAGGACGACCCGACCGTCAACATCGGCCCGCTCACGTACAGCTGGTCCAGCTGGTGAGTAATGTCTTATTCCTATAGCATCTGTTGCACTGCTGCATTAGGATCATGGGCACGCCGCTCTCCGAATCCGAGACGCTCGTGCAGGAAGGCTGCGACTTTACCGGGTCGCGGCGCCACGGTGAGCTCTTGCCGCTGCAGGAGACCAGCCGACTTGTCCGGTCGCTCTATGAGCGCAACGAGCCTGAGCACGTCTGGATCGAGAAGCTCGCGGTCGCGCAGAGGCGCCAGTTCCAGGCCAACCACGCCCACGACATTAGCCGCATTTCCTGCCTCATCACCGACATGGAAGCCGAAGCGATCTTGGCCTCGACGCGCGCCAGCGAATAAGCCCGATTTTTGTTCATGCAAACATGAGTATACACGTAGCCGCGTCCGGCAGTCTCGACTCTCTACATGAGCGTTGGCATTCCTCGACGCGCCAGGTGGCCTTGCATGGACGCGCAGGTCGAGCTAGATGTCCATGTCCTCGACCAGCTCGGGGTCGTTGCGGTATTCCTACACCTTTCGCCATGAGCAAATCGAGCTACTCGATCGAGATGGACGGTACGCGGCCAAAGAGCTGGAAGCCGCCGTAGAGGACGCGGACGTCAGGCTTGTGCGGTGCGTCCTCGAGGCAGATCTCCATGCGACTCTTGAAGCGCTTGGCGCAGAATGGCCCTCGGATTTGGCTACGCAGAAAGGCGCATTTAGCCCCATCTCGCTTGGGCGCATATACCTCATCATGCAGTGGAAGACGATCTGCGGCACGGCCTTGAAGTCCTCGACGACCGCGTCGACGTCGTCGTCATCTTGGAAGTGGTCTTCGGGGAGGTTCACGGCGCCCCGGATGTGGCCGCCGATAAAGTCCGAGTCGCGCACATCAATGATACGCACGCTCTGGCGGCGGACCGGGTCCTTGAGGATCGCCGCGAGCTCGCGGGCCGTGATGCGCTCAACCGTCAGAGAACTCATGCGTCGGACGCCTGCTCGAACCCAATGTGGCATGTGCCAGCCGATAATTTTTTAATTTCGGCATGTGCCAATTTAAACAGAGATTAACGTGATATCGTACGTCATTGCCACAAGCGGACGGACCTCACACTACCTCGTTGCGGCTAAACGGGGGCTTGAGATGACCATGGCTGCTGGCCAGCGGCGGGATCGCGCATGTTGAGATTTGACGTCAGCGCCACCGATCGAACCTGTCCAGTTGCTTCCACAGTCCAAGCCATCTGATTGGGTGGTCTATTTTTCCGACCCGCTGATTGGATCGCTAGCAAAAATCGACGCGTGACCGAGATTTTGTGCGGGATTGCATGATCCACGGCTGTGTGAGCCGCAGAACGATATTCGATGGGCGATGCAATGGCACAGCTGCGGGCAGCAGACGTCGGCTCCGAAATCATGACGCCGTTTGGCGCCCGAGCGCTCGTGGACGCCGACTACGTGGCGTCGGGGCGGCCCGTCGCCTCGATTGAAGACACGATCTCGCGCACCATCCTGCCGTTTTACGCCAACACGCACACGGATACGTCGCACTGCGGACACCAAATGAATCACTGGCGCGCCGAGGCCCGCGCGTCGATTGCATCGGCCGTTGGCGGCGACCCGTCCCAAGACGTTGTGTAGGTTGCAGCTTTTGTATAAATCACTGCACGATATGATGTAGACTCTTTACGGGCACGGGCTGCACGGGCGCGATTCAGCTGCTCGTTGGACGTCTTCGCCGACTCTACAAGCTGCGCAAGGCTGTTGTGTTCCTGGGGCCCTACGAGCACCACTCGAACGACTTGGTGTGGCGCGAAACGGGCGCGACGATCGTTCGGTACCCGCCTCTATCAAGGTACCAACTTGACAGTTTAAAACTATAGCATTCGACCGGGCGCCAATGGCGGTGTCGATCTCGAACACTTGGAAGACGAGCTCGCGCGCTATCGGCTACGCGCACTGCTCATCGGCACCTTCTCTGTCGCGTCCAACATCACTGGCATTACGACGGCGACGGTATCCGTGACGCGGCTTCTCAAGGCCTACGGCGCCCTTGCGTTCTGGGACTATGCGGCCGGCGCCCCGTACCTGAGCGTGGACATGCACGAGGGCGGGGTGGCGAAGGACGCAATCTTCTTTTCGATGCACAAGTTTATGGGCGGCCCGGGCGCCCCGGGCATCCTCGTGGCCCGTCGAGCACTCTTCCATGCGACTGGCAACCCACTCTTTGAGGACTGTGGCCGAGATGGCGTGCCGCTGCTGACCGAGACGCTAAGGCGCCCCGAGTGCTGGGCCGCGCGGGTGCTGAAGCGCACTCGTCGCTGGGCCGCCTCCAAGTCGGCTCGATGGAACGACGTCCCCGTGTACCCGGGCGGTGGCACCGTCCGCCTCGTGTCGCACCAAATGCACGAGTACACCGAGACGATCGAGGAGAGGGAAGAAGGGGGCACCCCGGACATTGTCGGCGCGCTCCGGGCCGCCCTCGCCTTTCAGCTCAAAGCGAGTCTCGGCGACCTTGGCCACCTCGAGCAGGCTACTGCTGTATGTACGATTTGATTACTTCGAGACACTTATAAGTGCGCCTAGGCGCGCGTCACCGCGGCGCTGCAGGTCCATCCGTGCATCGTCTTACTCGGCGATCCAGCGGCGCCCCGCCTCCCGACGTTTTCATTTTTGATTCGACGCGGGTCGCTCTTCTTACACCCCAACTTTGTCTCGCGCCTCTTGAGCGACCTCTTTGGCATCCAAACACGCAGCGGCTGCGCCTGCGCTGGACCCTACGGCGCGCACTTGCTTGGCATTTCCGACGAGATGGCGGCGGTGCTTTTCTCGCTCGAGCACCGGGGCGCCGGCGCCGTCAAGCCGGGCTTCACCCGCTTCAGCGTACCCGCGTTCTGGAGCCGCGAGCGTGAACAGTTTGTTGTCGACGCCACTTTGTTTGTCGCATCGCACGGCTGGCGCTTCTTGGCGCTCTACGATCTGAGTTTGTCCTCCGGCGTCGTCACCAGTCGCTTGGCCACGCCTCTGTTGACGACGTGGAGCGACGTTGTGAACGGCAGTGCTGCCGTCAACACCCCGATGACGAATGCCAACGGCGCCACGGTACTGGCCCAAGCCACAGCCATGCTGAGCGACCTTGAAGTGACGTCACCGCGGGGGCTCCCCGACGACGAGCCTGTCGCTGCGCTGCACTCGCTCGTGGGCTGCACCGCCAAGGACGTCGGCGCCTTTTGCTGGTTCCTGACGCCTTTCGATGTTGCGCACCAAGGTGGTAGCTTGACGACGGACCGCTGCAGTACGTACATCGCCTCCTCCTTCCTATCATTTGAGCTCCACCGGTGTGTTAACCAGGTGTTCTGCGACCGCTGTTCAACGCCGCCAAACTGCGCGACTGGACACCAGCACTCTCGCGAGACGCGCTGCGTCGGCTGCAAAAGACTCTGTACGTCAAGCCGAGCAGCGTCCACGCGGTTGACGGTCCCCGTCTCGTACACAAACTGCTCGGCTTCAAGTAACAAGAGCGTGACGATTCACGGAAGGTAGTAGTACTGCTGGAGCTCGGGCCGTGCGTGCTGGTCTTTCGTAATGTAATCGATGAGGAAGCCTGGCTTGACAAGCGGCACCTTCTTCTCCAAAAGGCTCTTGAGCAATTTGTCTGTCTTCTTGACCGCGTCGGCCACGAGCACCACCATCGGTGGCTCTTGTACGCCAAACTACATTGTCTCTATTGAGTTTCGAACCTCAATTGAGCGACAGTACCTTCTTGAGAAGCGTCGGTACGTCGAGGACAACGCCGCCCGCCGCGACAATCACGTGCGTACACATGCTTGGCGGCGGCACCGTCTCCCCGAGAATCGCAAACGTCCACTTGTCAAACGCACGGGCGCCGCCCGCCGCGAGGTGCGTGCGCCAGTACTTGGCGACCGGCAGCCAAATCCGGGGGTCGCAGTAGTGGTCCTTCGACACCTTGTCGAGACCCCACTCGTAGCCTTCTTCGCTCAGAAAGAGTCCTTGGGCGCGGCTGTCTCTTAAATAGTCGGGGGTCAGAATCCACTAGCCAGAGCTCACAAGTTTATATAGCATCGACGTAGTGACACACCTTGCCCGAGGCGCAGGCCGCAATGATCTTTTCGGTGCGCCGAAGCTCCTTGCAAATGACGTGCGTGCACGCCGGATCGAACGCGCGCGCGCTGTGCACCACGACGCCGCCGAGGAACTGCACGATCGACTCGTTGATCGCGAGCTCTTCGTGCGTCCCTGTCAGCAAAAACATGCGTTTTGGCGTCTACAATACGTTGGTGCATGCGTTGGACGCAAGTACTTTGATAAACCTTGCTGCGAGCGGTGGTCCGACGCTGCTTGACAACGACCACGTCACTCGGCTCGGGCTCACTTTGGGTCTTCCCCTTGCGTTTGGTTTCCTTTGGCGTCTTCTTGGCCGTCGCAGGTCTGATGGCCTCCAGGACCGACACGGATGCGTCACTGCCAGCGCTGGCGCGTTTGGCGGCCGCCTTCTTGGCCGGCGCCGGCGTCGTTGCAGCTTTTCTGGCTGGCGTGGCTGCTGCTTTCGTGGTCGTCTTGGCCGAGGTTTTGGCCGAGGACTTGACCGAGGACTTGACCGAGGACTTGGCGGAAGCTGTGACGACGACATCCGGCTTGGGCGCTGTTGGTGCGGACGACGGGACATCGGTCGCATCGGGCTGCGTGTTGCGCAGAAGAACGGGCGTCGTGAGCGTCGAGACAAATGACGTCTCGGGCTCTTTGGGCTTGAGCGGCGTGACTCGGCTGGGCTGCTTGGCCTCGAGGACTTGCAGTGCGTCGTGCACATCGAACTTCGGCATCTTGGGCGGCTTTGGCTCCCAGCTAAACTCGGCTTCGGGCACATAGCGCCACTGCTGGACGCACGCCAAGATCCACTAGCAGCCAACATTCCGTCGCAAATTCAACTGAGCAGAGATGCTTGCATACCTCGAACTTGACAACGTTGGGCAGATCCCACGTGAGCGCTCGCTGGTACTTTTCACCCGACGCTTCAAAGCAAATCAAGTGCGACGTGTGACTCCTACGCGTCATCAACATTAGCCACACCATTGGCATCATCAGCCGCCAAACCGCGAAAGAACGGGCAGCCAGCACGCGCCGACGAGGCGGATCATGGCCTGCATGTCGTCGCGGCTCGGCGTCGACCGCACTGTAAAGCCCGAGAGCGTGATGATGAGGCCTTCCATGCCCGGGATACTGCCAAACTGCTTGGCCGGGTACCACAGTACATTGCGCACCGTGGGTTCTACGCCTCGACATGAGCATTTCATCAAACAAACACGGGAGATTGAGATGGCCCACCGTCAAAGTTGGCCGGGAGCAGCGTGCGCAGCGCGAGGCTGGCCGCCAGCCACTGGATGCCGACGATGGTCTTGCCGCGCGCCAATGCGACGTCAAACGCACGGCCAGTCTGGTGCGCGCAGACGACGTACGTCGCACCGTCCATGACACTCTCGTCGTCGTCGTCGTTGTCTCGGAGCACGAGGACTTTGGCGCCCAAGCCTTGGATGGCGTCGAGCATGCGCTGGCGCAGTCCGGTAGCAATGTGACTCGCCACAACAAACGCATTGTCGGCCCACTCCTTGGCTGCGTTCTGCATGGATGTTAGAGCTCATCGTTGCTATCGTGGCGCAGTAGGGTACCTGAGAAATGTCTCTCCAAATGTCGAGAGGCAGCGCCTCCGAGACGGGCGGAAAGAGCTGCGAGTCGCACTGCAGCGCCATGACCACGTCCGAAAGCCGGACGTCGCGGACCCCACTTGGCTTGTGGTTGTGCTCAAAACCATAAAGCGTCTCGGGCAGCAGCTGGTTGACTCGAATGCACTCGTAGATCCAGAGGTAGTTGACAATACGGTGCTTGGTCAAGTGGCTTTGGCCAATGATGTAGGCCAAGACGACATCAGGAATCGGTCCATGAACGTTCGTGGCGACGAAGGCCGTCGCAGCGCGCACCACATCTTCGTCCGAGAGCGTATCGGTCTGCAGCGTCGCGCCCTCAGCATCCCAGTTGAGCGCTTGCTGGAACGCGTCGCCTTCGGGTCGCAGGCAGAGCATGTGGGTCGCGGACCGGCTAGGGTGCGAGAGAACTTGGCCGCCACTGTGCGCGATGAGCGTTCGCAGGACCTTGCTAGGCTCGGGCTCGACCTGCGACGTGTAAAGCACGATGGACGAGAAGACCTTGCGCGGGTTGGCCGAGAACTTCTCGGTTGGCAGCAGCACCTGCGCGTTGTGCAAGACGGAGCGAAAGGCCCAGATGGGCGTTACGATTGGGATGTAGTGGCTCTCGCGCGCCTTGACGTACGTCTCGTACGCCGACGACAAGCACACGATGTAGCCTTCGTTGGTCGCGCCATGGCCGTTCGGTGAGCCTTCGGCCGCGATGGCCTCGTCGACGCTGGCAGCAACGGTCCCGCCCATGACGCGGACGCAGACCTCGACGCTCATGCGCATGGCGTCCGGCATCTCGGGGCTGATGTAGACGGTCCATGCCGGCCGGGCCCTCCGCCCGCCCGGTGATCTTGTGTTGGCCATCGCTGCCAGAATATTAGTACGCTCCATCTCATTGGCCATAATTATATTTCATGCATGCCGTATTACATACAAATGCTAAGGTAATTATATAGAATAATTTCTCGATACCGACTCAATTGCGTGTCAAGCTGTCCCAGTGACACCACTGCTGGCGGGACGGCAGCCCCGGGTGCAGCACAGTCGCACCCACACGTTGACTCTACTGTGGTTTATTGTTGCGAGTCTAATAACAGAATAGAGTGCAGGACGAGCGCCACGCTGTCGGTCGCCGCGTCCCAGTGGGCTGGGGAGCTATTAGCGATTCCAACGAGCCGATCGATGCAGGCTACGGCGACAGCAGGCGCCCCGACACTCAGCGCCATCGGCAGCAACTCGGACAAGACGCGGGGACCGTACGCTCCAATAACACACGCTACCAAAGGCTCGAGGTCGAGGACGTGCGCGACGTCAGCCAGCTCGACCGCTTGCGCGACGGACAAATCGTGCACCTTGGGCAGCACCTTCCGCTGTGTAAACGCATGTATGGCCATCGCAACCGGCGCCGCACAGTCTTCCGTCAGCTTACCACACTCTGGGGGCGAACACGACTCGCAAAGATGATGCACCGCAGCCAGCAGATCGTGTAGCAGGTGTGGACTGGCTTTGGTGGACGTTCGGAGTGTGGTTTGCAGCATCAACGTAAAGTCGTCGTCGAGCCAGGTACTTCTTTTCCGCGGATCGTGGGCCACCAGCGTCAAGAGGGCAACGAGGATGTTTCGATGTAGCAAGCCGTTGGTCGATACAACTAGGGTCTTGATCAAGTGCGCCAGGACCGTCTCACTGACAGCAGGCAAGAGCTTGCGCCCAAGCCGGGGATGATGGGCCAAAAGAATACCCACGCACCCTTGCTCGATCGTATCGATGATAAAGCCTTCGTCGGACATGTGCTGCAGGGACGTCCAGAGCTGCACTGCGGCCGCGACAACAGCGGCATTCGTATGACACACGGCCAGCCACACGACATCGATGAGTGCGCCAGACGACCGCAATGCTGTCTGCGTCGCCCCCGCGACCGAGAGGTGTGGGGGAGGCACGACATGGCAGACGCACGCGCGCAAGAGCTGGAGAGCGGCCAGTTGATGCTGGGGCTTTTGAAGCTGCATTATGGTCCATGGGAGGAGCTCGTGCAAGTCGCACAGCACTAATGGCTGGGATGCAACGACCACGAGAAACAAGTCGACCGTCGCAGCGACGTATGTGGGCGCGTCGTCTAAGCGCACGAGCTGTCGGCAGAGATGCGGGAAGAGCCGCTTCGTCTCCATGTCTTCAAACGCTGGTGGGTAGGCGTATACGAGAGAGGAGAGAATGCGCAGGGCGACGACTTGCGCGGGTGCGTAGTCGAGTGCAGCGTACGATGGGTGCAGCAGCACAAAGGAGGCCGCGTCAATGGCGCCGTAGCTGCAAAGCATCGATGCATCGAGCGTGGTGAGCGCGAGGAGTGCTTGGACAACGAGCGTCAGTTCGGCTGCCGTGGTCCCTGGCAGCGTGGATATCAAATGTTGGCAAAGTTGCGGCACAACGTCCGACTTGTGCACAAGTTGGTGGGCGACACGCGGTGCACTGGTGCACGCGCTCTTAAGAACAGCAGCACTGGCGGTCCGGATCCGGGGGTTGATGTGAAGGAGCACAGCGCCGACAGAGCTCCAAACACCAATCGGGATCGTATCGAGAGTGCAGTGTTCCGCATTCAGATGGCTCGGGTTGGATGCGATCTTCCATAGCGTTAGTAGCGCGTGCTCGACGACGGCGTCGTTGGTCGAGTGGAGAGGGTACATGGCCTTTCTGTGCAGCTATCTTTAGCAAGTGGTGGATCTGTGGAAAACACAGAGTTTACCTTTAGCGCAAACCACTCCGAGGCCGGGGCAGTTGCCAACACACTACATTCTTGTCCATTACATGTCATACCGGTACCCTCGTCTCTACTTGTATATGAGTTGTTGGCTGTAGTCGCTCCTTGGCCTACCCACCTGAATTTTTCGCTGCTCCTGGCGAGTGCAAGATCGCACCATCGACATATGATTGGCTCCATTTGAAGTGCTTTACATCCAATGGGAATTGAGAGTTGTGTAACTGCCTCGCATTTTCAAACCGGCGCCGCAAGACAGAAGCCAAGCGCAGGACGATGCGTCGGCGGGGTCGCGTGACCCAGGAAGAGATCGCGATGGACAACATCCGCCAGCTCCAGGGGCAGATCCATGACATGCAGCGCGACAAGGCGAACCTCCTCAGCGAGAACCAAGACCTCGCGTCGGCGCTCGTACAGCCTCTCCTCGTCCATCTCCATCTCATGGACCATCCTCCGCAGAACTTGACGCGCTCCGACTTGGCCTCGGGTAGACGACGAGCTGCATATTCATATACGATACAGCTTGCAAGCTCATTCTCCATCCCATGGCAGCGAGGAAGAAGACGATTGAGCTCCAGATGGCCATGGGTACGACCCGGCTTTTCCTTCTCGGCAATGATCCTCTCTTCTCCAGTGCGTCGCAATGTCAGCGACGCGAAAGCGAAGCCTACAATTGCCATGCGAGACGTCAGCGTGCAATGCTCCTTGAAGGTTCGCCAATATGCATTGTGAGCAATTTTCGCACGCGCTCTAGTCTCGGGCCAAAATCGCCGACACGAAGAGACCAGCTAAGAAGAACAAGGCTAGCCCAAAGACGTCAACAGACCAAAGAGGAAAATCAAACCAGCGTGAGGCCCAGGTATGATACCAAACTTCAATGACCTCTACCTGATGCGTCGTTCGCAGTCCACTCGACGCACGCTGCCCCATCGAGCCAAAGTGGCAAAGCCCCCCGCTCGAGACCCATGGAAGGCAAGCGGGCGCGTGGCCACGCCTGATGTGAATCACATCCCTATGTCACCGCGCGTCCGTCTGGGTACCAACGCACCTTCTCCACGAGGGAACAACCAGGCGCCGGTAAGTCGTGCTTTTCTTGCCTCTAGCATTGACACCGCGAAAGCACTCTTCTATGAACGAGGAACCGACGACCGAGCGTCGTGCTATGCGCAACCGAACGTCGCAGCCGATTTACACGGTCAACTTGCTCAAGAAGATGCGCAAGGTAAACGATGTCATGGGCAACATGGGGATGCATGAGCAATCCATCCTAGGGCGACCCCTGCTCGTTCCAAATCTACTCTCCATGAGCCTTCATCTTCCAGCAGTGCATACGCTATGGTCAACAATCAACTTGATGATGATGTGTGTTGAAACGAGGCTTGTCATGGCTTCGTCTTCATGCGATGGTTCCGCGGCAAGTACGAAGGGCTCGTCGCCTCCGTGAACGCGTCAATGTACTTGTCTTGGAGCATTTGCTTGGCCTTGCGCGCATATTCCTTTTGCTCGCGCCGGATGATGCGCCCGTCTGGCAAGCGCACGAGCACGGAGCTGTCGGGAACGACCGTGTGCGGTGGCACGACGACGCCGGCGCCAATGACGCAGTCGTTGCCGATGATGACGCCCTCGCCCACGGAGCACTTGGGCTCGAACCAATTGTTGCTGCCGATCGTCTTGGCCTTGATCGTGCATCCGCTCTCAAAGAGGTTGTTGTCCCCGACCGTGATCGTCAATTGCGCGTCCGAGATCGTCAACGAGATGCAGGCCATGTCATCGACAATGTTGCGCTCACCAAAGATGACATATGGAGGGGAAGACGACGGAGCGTCGGGAAGAACCTCGACCGCGGCCTTGGGGTGGAAGACGCTCTTGTAGCCGACGGTCACGACCGCGAGGTCGACCTGGGCTTCGTCGCAGACGTACATGCAACTCGAATCGATCCCTTGATTGGCCAAATTGTGTTGGCTTGCTGACGCGTTCATTGGCCAAATCAAGAAAATACCATTTTTGATTGTTTTTATTGGCGCATGGAATAATACGTGCATGGGATTGGTGGAAATTGTGGCATTCGAAAATCCGTTGACAAAAGCAGCGGATTGGTTGAAACGCACACGAGCGATGAGCAACAAGCGCAAGGAGCTGCCCGTCGGGTTCTTTGACGATCCGCTGGCGGACGCCAAGGCGCGGAAGCTCAACATCAAGGAAGAAGTCGCCAAGGCGCAGGAGAAGGAGTGGGAGGACTTCCAGTCCTTTGTCGCCACCGTCGAGACCGAGGACCGCGACGAAGAGACCACCAAGGCCGACGAGGCGGCCGAGGAAGATGGCCTCGAGAAGCTCGAGCAAATGGAATACATGGAGCGGCTGCGCAAGACGCTTTTGCGTGTAAGCAAGAAAGAGTCTGGCGCCGACGATGACAAGGACGCCAACGACGACAATGCTGAGGACGAGGCGAGCGTCATCACGGACGCGACCGACCCGCCCGTCGATATCATGTCCGAGGTTCTCAAAGCTCGCTCCAAGGCCAAGGCTAAGGCCGTCCCTGTCGACGACGATGATGAAGACTTGGATCTTTTGGACTGGCGGGCGAAGCGACATTAGATGGTAGGCGAACGTGAAGAATGCAAAGGGTTGAAACATCATATTCGACGGCTTTAACGCGAGAATGGCGCTTACGCGACCAGGTGCGTGATCCCGTACAAGATGACGCCGCAGCCGATCATGAGGACGGGTGTGTCCATCGTATGTGGCGCCGTCGCCTCGGCGTACGCCATCGTCGGCGGCAGGATGAGCATCGCGAGAAGCACCTGCGTGAAGCTTTCGAAGTTGGCGTACTGGAGCGCGGGGAAGATCATGCCCGAGAGGAAGACGCACGCCGAGCCTTCCCACGACCGCGTGTACTTGCGCGCCGAGAAGCAGCTCCGCGTCTTGTACTTGTGCTTGCCCCAGGCAATGCCCACGGGCTCGGCGAGGCCGTCGCCGATACCCGTGATGAAGACAATGATGAACGTCAAAGCACCTTGCTCGCCATAGAGCCACTTGAAGAACATGATAATGAAGAGACCCGGCGCGATGTTGCCGGCAATGATCCAGTTGAGCGTGTGCGGGCGGTCCTCGGGGCGGTCGAGGGAGTTGAACTGGAGCATAAAGAAGGTCGCCGACTCGCGAATCGGCTTGATCAAGACGAGGAAGCCGAGCATCGTGAAAAAGTCGCCCCACCCGAGAGCAAGCGGGCCGTGGTAGTTGCTGTGGATCACGAGGGGCACCATATACGCGGCAAAGTGCTGGAGCTTCCGAGTGTAGTTGACCTTGAACACCGACGACTTGTTGGTCATGATGTAGCCCTTGCCATCGACTTCACAGAAACAGCGGCACACAAGGCCGCCGAGAAGCGACACAGCCATCATGCAGCCGAGCTTTGGCAGCTGGATGAGCCAAAAGTCAATCGACGAAAAGTACTCGGGCGCGTACAAATACGTCAAGACGAGGAGGACGACGAGGTACAAGATCATGCCGAGCAAGAAGATCATGTCGAACGTCTGCGTCCACGGCGCATCGTAGTCGCCGGCAACATCGCCTTCCTCGCAGAGCGACGACTTTTCCTTCTTGATCTTGTTGAGCGCGTCCTTGTCGTCGGTCGAGCCGTACTTGGGCCCGGCAAACTTGGGCAGGCTGTTGCCCTCGGGCACCTTCCAGATGCAGCGGAGGAAGATGTAGATCAAGATGAGCGCGACGATCGGAAGCCCGATGATCGTAACCTGCTGCGTCAGCGTGATGTGGTCTGCCCAGCTCGAGGTCAAAGGCGCCGAGGTCAAGGCCGCGACCGCATGCGTGGCTGCCGCGTGCGTGGCCGGCGCATGCGTGGCCGGCGCAAGCGTCGTCGCCAGTCCAGGCGTGGGCTTGGGTGTTGCGCTCATCGTCGTCGCCAGCGGAGCTCACTGGTTTTTCGAAAATGACGCGGATCCAAGCTTGGACAAACATCAAAAGATAGAGGTGGCTTTGCACCTCAGACTTCAACATCATACAAACATCAAGTGTATTTTGAAAACCTCTCACAAGGAATACAGAAGCGAAACCGTTGGCAGAGCTTCCATGGTTTGGTCGTTTTTTCACTTGGTGTTTGTATAGGTCGCAGCGAAATTCGATGAAACCAAATCCAAAATCCACAGCAGGATCGCTCACGACAGACGTCGCCGGAGAGAAGGCGCGTACCGTTGGTCCAAGCGGCTTTGGCTGCTCGAGTACGTCCAATTCTGCGACGAAAAAGATCCTGTGTGGATTGATCGTGATCGGCAGCAACTTCAACGCAGGACCGGGACCTCTATAAATTCATAATATAAAGTAATACTATTTCAATACGAGCAATTCCGACTGCAGATGGTGTCAGACTAACACTATTATCGTGCACAGAAAGGCAGCCGGTTAATCCGTCCGCAAAAACGGACCAATAGGATCACGTTGGTGCGATCCAGCAGAATGAGCAAATAATACCCTTGGCAGCAGCAACCCATGACGATGGACTGCAGAACCTTTGCAGCTTCCTGTGTCCCTATGGTCTTATTCGTCTGGAGCCACCTAGTGCTCTAGGCTTCTAGTAATTGGTATCCTCATGGGGTGCCGCCACGTTCTTGTCTTTATGCTTCTGAAAGCGTACATATTTGTGTCACCACAAGTGCACACTCCTGCATGCGTCGGTGCTATCTGCAGCCCTATAAAAGCGTCACGAGCGTCATCCTGCCTTGTCGCGATGATGAGCTCCGTCGTCATGACGAGGTGCCACTACTACCGTATAAGTATACGTACAAACACAGTGCAGCACCATTCTCGGTGCATGTCTGTACGCATCAAGCAGGTACATTCAAAGTCTTAGCGCGGCTTACTTATTCCGTTAGTGTCTCTACCATCCCTGCCGTAGCCAGCTCCTTCTTCCACCTCAAAGCCGATAACGACAAGAAAGACTACGAATTGCATACCAGATCGATCGCGGCGACACCCACTTTGTTCGTACCGCGCACCAGAATCGGCGCACGAGGCGTCGCCAGCTCATGGCTTCCCCTGGCTTCTCGGCATACCGCCGCCTTTACCTGCTTCAGAGCCGTGCACGTTGCCAGCACTGGCACCATTGGCTGCCACAACGCAAATGCGCCACTCGCCGCTCTCGTAGGCACGTGCTCTTGAAGCTTTGGCTTTGTCACACTTGCTTCAAGAATACCTTCGCCAGCTGGTGCCGCACTGTGGACACGGGCGTCGTCGGCAGCGCGAGGTCTGCGCTCGCACCCGCCGCTCCTATGGCTCGCGGCTGCGCTACGACTGGCCACTACGTACTGTGTCCGGTCGCTGCTTCAACTGCGGACGTCAGGCGTCTGTCCGAGCCACTTCACTTCGTTTCGACAGGCGGCAGCTGGGCGCGTCATATGCTAGGCCAATCACACGAGGGGTAGCAATCGGACCAATGAGACACGAGGGCGCTATCACCAAGATATCTCATCATCGTCTCATTTGGTCGCCCGAAAAGCAACCTGGGATGGCCGGCCAAAGCGTCAGCGCGAGGCAGGAAAAAACACGCTTATAGCTCACTCTGCCTGTGATTGAACGAGATACTACTTGACGTAGTCAAGAAGTCCGCACGGGTCAGCACTGCGTGTCGGCAACCTCTGACGTGATGCAAATGTTGATGCAAACACATATCCTAGCGGTGTGTGTCTTTACAACACTGCGATGAATCAGCTCTACCGGGTGCGGAGATGCGACCCAGGTTGTACCGTGCGTCGACCGTATCCTCGCCCAGGTACCCGCACTGTCTAGCCAGGTGCGGGCGAGGGTGGTGGCCAGCAAGGCTACGTCGGTCGTTGCTTTGGCTGGTCCAGCACTGCCAAAGCGCACCACTACGTTGATAGAAAGCGTATGCATCACGTCGTGGCAGCACATCATTGGTCGTGTCCCGCCGCATCCAACCACTGAACGGCAGCGAACGCGCCGGAAGCAGACCATGTGGGCGCTTAAGAGACGTTTCTGACCATTGCAAGCTCATTTGAGACGGTTTGGATAAATTTGGCCGGAAAGGACATTGCACTTGCGGTCATTGGCGCGGAGATGGCTCGCCTGGACTTCCGTGGCTATGCCCGCTCTGATCTCACGCAGGTGTACGGTAGGTCCAGTGCCCAGCTGGCGACGAGCGCTGCCTCAACAAACGCTTCGAGCCGCTTTTCCTCTACTTCATTCCTGGATTCGCCTCGCACTCCACACTACGCCATGGCGCATCCTTCCGAGACGCCGTACGTCCAGCCGTCGACGGGCATCGCCGACGGCATCGCGCGCAAGGTCATGTTCTTCGGCATCCTCGCCGTCTTCCTCCTCATCAACGTCATCGTCTTGTACGCGCTGCACTTTACGTCGGCCGGCGTCCCGGCCTCGGCGTCCAACGTCAAAGTCTCGAGCGACGCGTTCAAGGTCGGCTCCATCGACAAGAAGGTCGTGAGCTTCGGCGAAGACGGCGCGATCGTCATCGGTGCTGGCACCACGGGCTACCTCGATGCGGTCGCCATGCCCAACGACGCGATCAACTACATCACGCTCGCGCCCATTGGCGCCAACGCGTCGTCGACCGCAATCCTCACGTACTACCTCAAGAACAAGACGACGACCGTCATCACGACGCTCACGGTCAACGACGACAAGACGACGACGGTCAGCACCAAGTCGTCGACGGCCGCCAACGTCCAAGTGCGTGGCATCGCGACGCTCTCGAACACGCAGGCCGTCTTCCTCCAGTCGACGAGCATGGGCAAGACGTCGCTCGTGCCCGGCTCGATCGCGTCCGGTGCGGTCACGTACAACGCTGACAAGGCCGTCGAGATTGCGTCGGCGTCCGTCTCGAACACGCTCGCCGCGCTCTCGCCGACGACGTTCGCCGCGACCACGTACCAGCCGTACTCGGAGAACAGCACGTACTTCCAGGAGATCCAGGCCGGGTCTATCTCGGCGGACGGCGTCATCACGATGGTCAAGCCGCTCGCGATCGGCACGGGCAACTCGGCGCTGCAGTCGGTGACCAACTCGGGTCCGGAGCCGGTCCCGTCGATGCCCAACTCGTTCATTGTGACGTGGTTTGCCACGAGCAACGACCCGAACGCGACAAGCGCCAAGTCAGGTCTCTGCGTGCTCCTCGCCAACATCAACGGCACCGAGGTCGGCAAAGTCAAGGAGGCGTGCAACACGCAGTACCAGCCGCAGTACTTTGTCGACTCGACGACGGTCTCGGACTCGGTGGTCGCGCTCAGCTTTTACGACGCCAACAACAACAACGCGCTCACGCTCGTCATGGTCGAGATCAACGCGTTCACCAAGAAGATCTTCTTCCGCGGCGCGTACGTCCTCGCCGGTGTCGGCGGTCCCTTTGACTTTGGCTCGTACTTTGGCTTTTACCCGACCCCGTTCGTCCAAGCGCTCTCGGCCACGAAGCTCTCGATTCTGTTCTTGAACCCGACCAACCACGGCCGCCCCACGACGCAGATCTTCCAGATCACCGATGCGCTCACGCTCACGCCCCTCTCGCCGCTCCTCCGCCTCTCGAACGGCGACTTTACGCTCGCGGGCGCCTTGCCCAAGGCCACGTCCGGCGTTGTCGCGCTCGCGGCGCTCCCGCTCTCGGGCAACAGCTACCTCGCGGCCTACTCGGGCGACCTCGCGTCCATCAACCACAAGCGCATCTCGATCGTCGAGTACAAGGGCAAGCCCATCGGCGTCGGGTCCGGCTCGGACAACCTCGTCATGAGCGGCGTCGTCGATGTCGGCAGCAACTACGTGGCCGGCAAGGCGTATTACGCGACGACGAAGGGTGACATCCTCGCGGCCACGAGCACGGACGCCGACGCCGACTACTTCTTCGTCGGCAACACCACGATCGTCTCCAAGGACGCGCGCGTCGGTGTCGCCGTCTCGTCGAGCAAGTTGTACCTCTCGAGCTCAATCTAATCGGACTATGTAATATCATTTCTGGATGGAGATGCGACGTGTTATATGCTGTCAGCAACGCAGAGATCACCAATCGTCCTGTGGTCGGCGCCGGCTTGACGACTGCAAGCACCAAGCAAGTCCACGACTGCACGTTCCCAGCAACAACCCGCGTCCTACTAGCGAGCGGTCGATATATCATGGCCAGCCAACCTTGGATGAAGGAGCAGGTTCGATGTGCGAACCAACTCTACTCGATCACTCTCAACACTCCGACAGCTTCGACAACCACCTCAGCGTAGCAAGTACTGGTACTGCGCTGTGCCAGGACTGGAGCCCAACTTGGCCTTCCCTCTGTTTCTAGTATTGCGGGTTTGGTACACTCTGGAGGCGCGAGCACCAAACCCAATATTCTACCTACAATGCACTGTGTTTGTGTACACATTGTCTTTTGTTGCACGGACAATAGCGTCTGCACCCTCGATCTTGGACGCGGTATCCGGTCGTATCCGGATGCTGGCCGGACGCCATGGTTCATTTGCGCCCATGAAGTTTGCCGTGACTCCGGCACAGGCCGTGCTCTCGTGCTTGGGCATGGCATCTGCCTACGTTGGCATCCTCTACTGCGCCCCGCGGAGCATCCGCGCCCTTCCGCGCGACCATCCTTCGCAGGTACGTACGAGGTGCCTGCAGGCGGACGACGTCGACCTTAGATTGTCACGCGCTTCTTCCTCATCAGCGTCGTGAGCGTCCTCTGCCCGCTGTACATGCTCTGCTACTACGAGCCGGTGCGTCTGCTCTCTCTTCCATCTTGGCCACTGACTATTGCTTGCAGAGCGCAAATGGTATCTCGCTAGCCGCGTGGCTCGGCTTCCACTGGGACGTCCGCGCGACGATCGTGGGCGCGGGCCTCTCGCTCAGCGTGACCATGCTCCTCTTTGCGGGCGCGCTCTTCGCATACCTTCTCGAGCTGCAGGAGACAGCGCGCTCGTCGTCGTCGTGGTCCAAGGCGCTCGAAGGCACGTCCCTTGTACACCAAGCTCGCTACGAGCGCATCCAGGCCATCCGCACCTACCTCTACGTACGAACATGTCTACGTATCCCCACCCTTCATCTTAAGGATACATATACATATAGGCGCCGTTCACGGAAGAATTCGTCTTTCGCAGCTGCATGGCCCCGCTCTTGCTCTGCGCTGGCTTCTCGGCCGGTTCCATCATCGTGGGCAGTCCCCTCGCCTTTGGCGTCGGTACGATCTGCCTCTCGCCGCACCTCGATAACAAGCGCTTTGTATTCGGTAGCGCACATGCACCACTTTGTCGAGCACGTGCGCAGCGGCATGCCGTGGACTCGCGCGCTGCTCATCGTCGGTACATTTGCATCATTGTCGATCCTCGGCCGACGCTCCCTACTAGTCTTCCAGCTCTGCTACACGACAGTGTTTGGCATCTACGCCACGTTTCTCTACTTGCGCACCGGTAGTCTCTGTCTGTGTGCACGTTGTCATCCGCTGTTAGGTCAATTTTGCGCACTCTTTGCCGTGCATGCATTTTGCAACGTGATGGGCTTTCCCGATCTCGGGTTTCTCTCGATCGAGAGCCCGCTGTACGGCGCTCGCTACGGTAGCTCTTCCGACCTTAGCACGCTTGCTGATGCGATTCTCGTAGCCATCTTGGGTGTCTACCTTCTCGGCATTCTGGGGTTCTCCGTCCTCTTGTACCCGCTCACGGACCCGTCGCTGCATCCGCACAGCCTGTGGCTCTTCGCTCGTTAATACACTACAGAAGCATGGCACTCGATGGATGTACGATGATCTAGATTCGCAGTATATTCTAACGCGCTAGCTATCGCTGGTACGGGCACTGGGGGGCGTTGGCGTCGGGCAAAATCGAGTCCATCCCGGGGGGGTTGGCAGGGCACATGAGCGACGCATCGGGGCCGACGGCCACGGTCCGATGCCGCCAGTACGAAAGACTCGTAAAGATCGACTGCTGCACGCGGCCTTGACGTGAGAGCGCCTTGTCTTCGTCGGTCGGGTGCACAACGCCATGGTACAAGATCGGCGTCATGACCATGACCATGTAGGCATAGGCGGCGCGCCACGCTTCGCGGAGCTCGTCCGTGAACGTGTCGCCCGTGCAGTCGTGCATCGCGAGGAGGAGGCACTTTCCGAGCAGATTAAAGTACTCGATCTTGACACCGTACTTGTTGTGGCGGTACGCGAGGTCGCACACTTTCTCAATGACGTTGGGCGCGTTCACGGCCGACGTGATGCTTTGGATGATGTTGATGAGCGCTTTGCCTTGGACGATGATGGACGACCGGAAGAGGGGCTTGACGGCCGGCGCCTTCTCAAAGATCATGCCGTAAAAGTAGTCGTAAAAGTACACGACGGGCGACGCCGGCTTGATTTTGAGCAGCGCGGGCGTCGACCCGGATGAAATGGCCGCCCAGTTGGCGAGCACGAGCGCCTGCACGTCTTTCGAGATGCGCGGGTGCACCATGGCGAAGTCCGGGCAGCGCTCTTCAAAGTACCGCTTGTAGCGCACGCCGAGGATGATCATGCCGTCCTTCGTCTGCTTGATCGCTTGCACCGAGTACGTCACGCCCATTCTCAGGCTACGGCTTATCTCTGGCAGTGCCAAGATGGCCCAAGATAGCAGCAGCCAACCCAAAGCCTGAGAAAGGCTGAAACGACAAGACTCGTTTTTGTGCTCATATACCAAGTACACAATTCTGTCGTCCGTTGGAGGCTTTCGCTCCAACTACATTGGTGAGCCGACAAGCGAAGCGTCTGTAGTAAAGCGATGCAAAGTGTACATGTTGTCGTATTTAAGACGCTGAAATACAGGGTGCTTCCTATAATCACTCGCCTTTGGGTGGCTGTTTGGTGCGGTGGATGGAGCGGATCGTGTTGAGGACGCCCCGTCGGTCGCACGCCTATGTCTTCTTGTGAGGGTGCGACCATGAACAGGAAGTCTTTACTTGGTGTTCGGGCGTCCACTCGGACGCAAGCGACACCATGGTCGAGTCGCAGAGCAGCTCGCTCTCGGCGCCGTCGTCGGTCTGGTTGGAGCTCGGATCCAGCGCAAGGTCGAGCAGCTGGAGCATCTTGGACTCGGAAATGCTCTGCTTGAGCTTGGACGTCGTCTTGGAGCGCGGCGTGCGACGCGGACTCTTCTCGACGCGCACGTCCTCCTCCGGGTTCATCGTCGTGGCTCGGGCGGGATTATAACGGCGCCCTATTTCGAGCCTCGGTATCCGGATGCGTGTCAAAGAACCGGATCCGCTCCCGCCAAAACACTCCAAACCCAGTGCGCCAGTGCTCCAAACCCATTCACACGCACCGGTCCGTGCACCGCGAGCAGTCTACGTACTGTATTTCGGTTTATAAAAACTCATTTCTTGGTGGGGTTTTTGAGCAAGAGGGCCTTCTTGGTCGTGCACTCCTTGAACGGTTTGCCCGTGCCATACGCGGCGCTGGTCGTCGTCATCTTGGCCTTCTGCATCCTATACGCCCCATGAGCCATGACTAGCGAGAACAACCAAGTCAACTTTTCATCCTGGAGCTTTTCCTGGAGCTTCTTGATGCGATTTTCGTACGTAAAGTCTTCGGCCTTGGAGTTGTCAATGTAGCAGAGCCCAAAGTCGTCCCACCAGCGCTTTGCGGCCATGTGCTCGCTCTCGATCTGCGCCGTCAAGTTGGCTTGCTTGGACACATAGTCGATCTCTTGCGGGTGTCCTGCGTCGACGGGCTTGGCGGGCATACCTCCTCTTGGATTCTAGCTCGATGCAATCCCAACTCCATCACCCAATATGGCGCGTCAACGGCACGAGCGCTGAAACAGTCAACTGACGGTACACAATAAGACGACGCTTCTTATTCCATGAGCGAGAGCGTTGGCGAGACGGCAAAGTCGGCGTCCGTGCGCTTGCGGATCTCGTCGACCGTCGTGTCGGGCGCGTGCTCGATGAGGACGAGGCCGTTGGGCGTGCAGTCAAAGACCGCGAGCTCCGTAATGATGCGGTTCACGACCGACTTGCCCGTGAGCGGGAGCGAGCAGCTCTTGAGGATCTTGGCGCTGCCGTTCTTGGCGTTGTGCTCCATCGTCACGACGACGCGGTTGCCGCTGCCGACGAGGTCCATCGCGCCGCCCATGCCCTTGACCATCTTGCCCGGAATGATCCAGTTGGCGAGGTCGCCGTTCTGCGCGACCTGGAGCGCGCCGAGGATCGTGAGGTGGATGTGGCCGCCACGGATCATGCCAAACGACTCGGACGACGAGAACGTCGACGAGCCCGGAAGGTACGTGACCGTCTCCTTGCCCGCGTTGATAAGGTCTGGGTCCTGCGACCCGAGCTTCGGGTACGGGCCCATGCCAAGGAGGCCGTTCTCACTCTGGAGCACGACCGAGACGCCCGCCGGGACGTAGTTGGGCGCGAGCGTCGGGAGGCCAATGCCGAGGTTGACGTACATGCCGTCCGCAAGCTCCTTGGCTGCGCGCTTGATGATGCGCTCGCGGTCCGGCGTGATCTTCATGCTCGTAGCGTTGTCCGAGACAGTGAGGCGCTCGATGCGCTTCTCGTTGCGCTCAGCCTTGTAGATGCGCTGGACGTACACGCCCGGGACGTGGATCTCGTCCGGGTGCAACTCGCCAATCTCGACGAGCTCTTCGACCTCGACGATCGTCGTCTTGCCGGCCTTGGCCGCGTCGACGTTAAAGTTGCGGGTTGTGCCACGGAAGACGAGGTTGCCGTCCTTGTCACCCTTCCAGGCCTTGACGAGCGCAAAGTCGCCCGTGATACCTTCCTCCATGACGTAGTTGCGACCGCTGAAGACGCGCGTTTCGCGGGCCTTGCTCGGAATGTCCACGGACCCGTCGGCCTTGAGCTTGATGCCAAAGCCACCTTCCTAAGAAGCGACTGTAAGACACGCTTGTACGCATGACGAGGCGTACCTGGATGATGGTACCGTACGCTGTCGGCGTAAAGAAGGCGGGAATGCCAGCGCCACCGGAACGGATGCGCTCGGCGAGCGTGCCCTGCGGCGTAAGCTCGACTTCGAGCTCACCCGTCAAGTAGAGCTTCTCAAACAAGGCGTTCTCGCCGACGTACGACGAGATCATGCGCTTGATCTAATACATTGAGCAGCTGAGCATCCATGGAAACTAGTTAAGCCAAGTGCGTACCTGGCGCGACTGGAGGAGAAGGCCAAGACCATAGTCGTCGACGCCGGCGTTGTTGGAGACGCACGTGAGGTCCTTGGCGCCCTGACGCACGAGCGCATCGATCGAGCTCTCGGGGATACCGCAGAGGCCAAAGCCACCAACGATCCTACCAAACATGCCCATGAGCCATCGTCGCCGTTCACGTAGCCTCGCCGTACAAGGTCGAGCCGTTCTTGATGTCCTTGACGGCCTCGTCGGACGAGGCGAAGACCTTGCTCGAGGCGAAGCGCTGGTGGAAGAGGGCGGCGCGCGAGACGCGTGTGAGGCGGGAGGCTTGGCGAAGCATGCTGCAAATCAAAACTGAGGCCACAAGCTCCCAAATCTTCTTTCGATCTTCGGTTTCGAAGTTTCCTGTCGTTTTTTATATACACGCTTCAGTATACAAAACGCTTGCTACATTAAAAAAGAGAGAAAAATTACCCGAAGGACCAACTTCAAGTTGGCTTGGCAATCGAGCGAACGACGATGGCGATCCAAGGGCTCCTCCCAGTAATCCGAGGCAAGTCGACTACCATCTGCGGCCTCGACTAACTATGGGGCACGCTCAGATAGTATAAACATGCGGCGGCTGCTGGTCCAACCTCAATATCGTTGCAGAAAGCTCTAGGAGACGCGCTCGACGACCTCGGCGTCTTCCTCTTGATGCAAGCGCCACTAAGCTCTAAGAACCTATGGGTCTTATCCAGGACGCGACGAGGGCGCTGCGGATAGCGAGGGGTGTGTATGGTTGTCACGCCCAGCGATGACACGGTGTCGTCAAACGGCAACTTCGCCGATTTGTAATCGGCCACCGATGACAAATCGTCACGCAATTGGTCAACAGCCTGTCAACCGAACGGTTTCGCGTAACCGGCTCGACAACGCGTTGATTGGCCGCGTGGCGATCTTGAAGCGTCGTCACGAGACAGGACGACGATGGTGGTATTATTTTTTATGGAGCAAATCTTCAAGGGAAACGTGCATGGTCGACGACCGACCCGCGCCACGGCCACCAGCATGAGTACTGCTATTGCTGTTGTTGCTACCACGACCCCCGTGGTGGCTCTTGTGGCCAGCGCGGCCACCCTTGCCTCGGCGCTCTTCGTGGCGAGGGGGGCGTCGACCGGTGCCTTGCGCCGACGCGCCCGGCGGCTGCGTGAGTTTCTTCTCAAACCGAAACTGAATGTCCTTGAGGTGCTCGATCGTGAGCGTCTTGGCGGCCGCGACCGCATCTTCGCACGTGCCCACAAACTCAAAATGGGCGCTCTCGCCGTCGCGCGGCCGTTTTTGCGAGAAAAAGTTGACTTGGGCGCCGCTCTCCTTTTCGATGCGGCGAAGGTTGGCGCCCTGCTTGCCAATGATCTGGCCCTCGATGTTAAAGTCGGGGCTTGAGAGCGCCTACACCGCGTCGTAGGAGCGTGACGACAGATTCGATTTTGTATACCTCGTCCGAGAGTACGTCGTGGATGTACAGCTGCTCCTTGAACGAGTCGTTGAACGACTCGGACGCGACCGACGCCGTGTCAAACGACCCAAACGAGTCGGTCGACGGCCGCCGGCTCTGGAAGCCCGACTGCCGCTTCATGTGTTGGCCCTTGGAGATGAGCTTCTTCCCGTCGTCCTCCAAGCCTTGGCGCAGCATGCAGCGACCAATCTTCTCAATGCAAAAGCCGAGCTCGCGCGAGTTGGGCATGAGCACTTGGCGAATGGCTTCGGCCTCGCGGTACATCATTTCCGCCTCCTTGTATTTTTCCTGGGCCACGAGAATGCGCGCGAGGTTCAAGAGCGTCACGGACACGCGGTCGTTCGTGTTGCTATAGTACTGCTGCCGGATCGTGAGCGCTTCGCGAAGGTAGGTCTCGGCCGCTGCATATTGCCCCTATATCGTCCGCATGAGTGACGATGGCGACACCTGCGTTGTACCTGGTTGTACTTGTGGTTGCCGAGGTTGTTGAGCGTCGCCGCGGTCTCGGGGTTTTTGTTGCCGAGCTTCTTGCGCCGAATGTCGAGCGCCTGCAAATACAGCTGCTCAATCTTGGCGTCAATCTCCGACATCTTTTGCGGCGACGGTTTGCGCCTAAAGCCGAATGTATCAATCTATCAAGGTACCCAGAACGTACGCCTTGGGCAACTTGTCGGTGATGTGCACGAGGAAGAGCGCCATGTTGTTGAGGCTTCGCGCGACGAGCGGGTGGTCCTTCCCAAGGTGCGCTTCGTAGATCGAGAGGCTCTTTTCATACAGTTCTTGGATCTCGTCGTTGGTCTTGAGGAGCACGCCGCCGTAGCCGAGACCTGTCGACGAGCCATCGCCCTCGTCCTTGAGCATCGTGAGCGCCGACTTGTAAAAGTTGCCGAGGTTGTTCAAGCTCGTCGCATAGTCGGGGTGCACAGGCCCGAGGACGCGCTCGCGGATCTCCTTGGCCTGCAACAAGAGCGCTTCGGCCTTGCGGAACTTCCACGCATTCACGGGGCTAAAGCCGCGGCGCATCGAGAGCACAATGCCGAGGTAGTTGAGCGCCTCGGCGACGTGCGAGTGGTCGGTGCGGTGCAATACCTCTTGCTGGATACGCAGCGACTCGCGGTACATGTGCTCCGCGTTCGCGTCTTCGTTGATGTCGTAGTGCGCGTACCCCATTTCCATGACCATGAGCACCTCGAGCGCGAGGAGCTCCATCACGCCCGGGCACGCGCACGACAGGATCGTCTCGGGTGCTTGGCTCGGCTCGTAACTCGACGGCATGTCGCTCGTGTCGAGGATCGTCGAGTTGTTCTCGATATGGCCGCACTTGCAGTTGAGGACGCGCGCCGTCTTGGAGAACTGGATGCTTGTCGCAAACAAGCGGAGGCGGAAGCGCGGGTCCATGCGGGCGCGGAAGATGAAGCGGCCGCGCACCATGAGGTTGCTGTGGAGGAGCACGTCGATGAACGGCGCGTACCCGCCGTCATCGTCCTCGCAGCCGGTCGCCATGCGCTCGCGTGCAGTCTCTTCGCTGTGCTTGGAGAGCTGGTGGGCGATCCGCAGCGCCGACTCGATGTTGGAGCGCTCCGAGTCAAAGAGCGTCAGCGACCCTTCGTAGCGGAACGCGTGGCTGGCGTTCGCAATCACGAGGCAGTAGTGCCGCACAAAGCGGCGTCGCCACGTCAAGAAGAGCGCGGCGCCTTCGGGCGACGAGACGGAAAACTTGGCCGCCTCGTCTTCGGCAAAGAGCTGGATCATGTTGTGCAGCCGGAACCGCGCATGCTGCGGTAGCACATGCCGCGTCGTCTTGCGCAGTAGCATGGGCATGACCTTCTCGACGAGCGACCACTGGTTGAGCTGCTCGAGGGCCGGGATCGCCGCCGCGACCTCGGACGCATGCGCCGCGACCTCTTCCTGGCTCTCGAGGTTCAAGAGCGAGTACGACATAGTTGTGAGCGCGTCGTCCTTGTCAAAGCAGTCGTCAATGTGGTAGAGCTCCCACCCAAGACTCTGCGCCGACGACGCGGCCGTGGACGCGCACTCGTCCAGCGCGTTAGCACTGCCATACTGCCGGCTGTACGCTGGCGGCGCAAACATCGAAGGCGTTGCTGAGGACGACGACAAGAGCGACGGCGACGAGTGCGTCTTCATGAGAGGCGACGGCGACGTGAACGACTGGAGGACGGCACACGCAGCCTTCATGTCAAACACACCGCGGAAGAGCCCGAGCGCCATAAAGGCGAGCCGGAGCGGCGCGTCAAGCTGCGTAAACGACGATCGAATGCACCGATCGAGGCATTCTTTCTGGCCGGTTTCCGACAAGTTGTTGATCTCTTCGAGGCGGTGGTCCTCAACCTACGACGATGATTTAATCATATGCGACAGTGTTGAGTGACGCACCTGAAGACGCTCGATGAGGTCCTGGGGCGTCACGTTCGAGCGCGTGTTCGCGAGGGCCCGGCCGACGACGCGCAGCGCCAGTGGCAGTTTGCCGCAGATGGTCGCGAGGCGCTCTGCTTCAACCGGCGAGCACTGCAGCGCCATCGACAAGATGAGCTCCGTCTACGGGCCATGTCACACCAACAACACACTACGAGGGACCGGTACCGCAATCTTGAGCGGCAGCTCCGAGATGTTGACGGACGTGACGGTGACGTTGGCGATGTCCGGGATACGACGTGAGCCGAGAAGCAGCCGCGTATGGTGCGCGGTCGCAACGAGCTGGCCAAGGAACGCCTCGCACTTGCGCTGGTCGCGGTCGAGGAGCTCCTCAACCTTGTCGAGCACGAGCAGGCAGCGCTTGGAGCCGAGCTCGGCAAAGAGCTGGCTGTCGGTCGTATTTTCACCGACGGGGAGCCCGACGCTCTGCGCGATTGCATACCTAGTAGACATTGAGAAGGTGATTCTGTCGAGAAGAGCCTACAGCACGGCCGAGAACTCGAGACCGGCGAGACCTTCGAGATCCACGTAGAAAACGCCGTCGGGGCATATCCTGCGCTGGAGCACAAAGTGCGCCGCCGCAATGACGAGCGAGCTCTTGCCAATGCCGGGTGCCCCGGTGCACACCTACAGCCCATGAGGTGTCTAGCATCATCGCGATTGCAGACCGTCACGTTGCCTTGGACGATCGAGCGCACGAGGTTGTACGTATCGACGTTGCGTCCGACAAACTAGCGTCGCATCAGCACTCGGTCATGGCCGCTGCTGCCAAGAGAGGTACCTGGCCGTGCATGGCCGGGAGGTTCGACGGACAGTGCGGCGTCAAGTCGACGAGCTTGCCGCGCGGCAGCTTGGGGAAGATGATGACGTCGTGAAGCGACGCATCCGCTTGGCCAAGCAGGAGGAACTTGGAGCTCTCATCGTGGGGCCACGGCAGCGTCTCGCCTTTGCAGCAGCAGCGGTTGGGCGGGTGGCGCGTATGCACCATGCCCGAGAGCGCCCACTGGCACGTTCGTTCGTGGAGATGCCTACTGTACAGTTAGGAGCCGAGTACGACAGAACAAAACGCAGCGTACGCGCAGCAGCAGGCGCGCTTGTTGGTCGGCGGCAAGGCGCGGACCGCCGTCTTGGCAATGTCAAAGGCCGAGAGGACCGACCGGCCCGCAAAGAGCGAGAGGTAAAAGTGTTTGGCAAACATGTTGCCGCTCGAGTCCAAGATGCGCGAGTCCGAGTGCACGGCGACGACGTGGGGTACACCGGCTTCGACAAACACGTTGGCGAGTCGCTCGCTGTGGCACGAGCTCACAAACACCACTTGGAGGAGGTCCGTGGACCCGACAGCGCCGCTGTAGATGAGTTCGCGGAGCGACTTGGGCGAGATCATATGCGTGCAGCCCGCGCCGTCCTCAAAGCACAGCATCTCGTTGTGCCCGACGCCATGGCCGGAAAAATGCAGCACCTACGCTGCGCGCTACAGCGAGTGGACGCACCGATACGCGTACCTTGCACTTCCATGCGGTCAAGAGCGCACGGAACGAGTCGGTCGTCGCTACATCAAAGCGCACCTGGATGCACCCGAGGTAGCCCGAGTTGAGCGCTTGCTGGAGCGAGAGCCGCTCGGCCTCGAGGTCCAGCTTCTCCATGGCCAAGATTGTGGGCGGTGCATCCTTGGGGTAGATCTTGAGCACGAGGGGCGCTGCATGCAAGACAGCCAGGTCCAAGATGTTGTCCCTACACGTCGTATCGCTGGTGCGCGTCTGCTGTCGAGCGGAAGCGCTACCTGTCGTTGATGTCGCGGATGGCGGCGAGGAGCTTGGCTCGCCGGCCCAGCGCCTTGATCTGAAGGTCGTCGCGAAGGATTTCGTTGGTCAAGTCGGGCAGAATGGCTACGTCATGGAGGAAATGCCATGAGGACAACCTCGTCCGCCACGCTGCATATGGACGTACCGCCCGAGATCTCATTCTCGAGGAAGATCTACCTCGGAGGTCAGTCGCATGCTGCGCCATGAGGGGCGTACCTCCGCGAACTCGCCAAAGCCCGAGGCCTCGAGCCACTCGGCGACCTTCTCGCAGCTCCAGGCTTCCATCGACGCAATTCCACTGATGTCTTTCGAGGATCCCCAAGTGGCGTTTCTTTAGACCAATCGCATGGCGCGAAAAAGTCGATTTTCAACCAATCGCATGCACGGACGCCGGCAACGTGGGATTTTCGAACCGAGCATAGCGCGGAGGCGGCAAGCGACCACAAGAACCTGCAGCGACGCCCTTGGCCACGCGGCCGTCGCACGCCACCGCTCGATGCGACTTGGTGCGCGCTCTCGTGCCCATCCCTCGCTCCTTGAGGTACTACGGTGCGTTGGGTTGTCTTGGTAATCCAGGAAAAATCTGCGCCAGCGAACGAACAGGAAATCCTGCAAGCAGCCCACGCTCCAACTTCTTAGTCCCGTGTACTAGTACGCAGCTGCACCGCGCCGATAGCGACGCGAGGCGACCGATCGCGTGCGTGGGTAAAGGTGGCTACAGCGTGGCGTAGTACCGGTACCTACCTGGCCCAGCTACCTGGCCCGCGTCGCAGCAATGATCAATTGAAGTACGCCATCGTACAGAGCCATATGGTGCCCATGCGGGCGCTGTGGACATGGCACAGAGATGGCACACAGTCGACCTGTCGTGTCTGACGTTGCTGCATGCCAGCTCGTCCTGCGCCATGGCCTTCGTGCAGTGCGCTACTGCCTGGCCTTGCTGCTCATGCAGGTGCGTTCGCATGGCATAGCCTCGCTTCCAGTCGCAGCGACAGAGTCCTACGGCCGCGCGTGTCCCGCGGAGGCGTCCGCGGATGAGACCTTGAGCACGTGCAAAATTTCGGGTAATAAAATGCGCGTTGGATATTGACAACCGGGCACGGCCAAAGCAATATAATGTCATATCGGTTGAAGAGCTTAGAAATTGTATTGAAATCGACCCGCAAAAAATGTTTGGAAAATAAAATCGAACGAAACGCGGGCACCCGAGTGAGAAAAGCCAGCAGAGTTCATTCACCTTTTCGCAACCGCTCGAGCCCATCGCCATGGGGCAGTCGTGCTCGTGCTTGGACCAGAGCCACCCGCACAGCCGGCGACGCTCGAGCTCGAGCTCCATGTCACTCCAAGGCGACGCCACGGCGCGGGCTGAGGGCCTCCTACACCAGCCGTCCAAGGCCATCGAGGCCAGTGTCGTCAAGCGCAATCCGCGCACGCTCGACCACGAGTCGGCGTACACCGCCTTCGTCTACAAGGGCATGGAGCATCCGCCGAGCTCCAAGAAGACAGAGGCCAGCGGCGTGAGCGAGGTACGAGCCGTTAGCGCGCCTACCGAGGTCTCATGCGTCCGTAGCCGAGGTCGTCGACCGATACGACGATCTTGGAGCTCGAATGTGTCATGTGCCTCGACACGTTCTCGGACGAGAACCCAAAGATCCGGACGCTTTGCAACTGCGGCGTCAACAGGACCAACTTTCACCTTGCGTGCTTGTACGAGTGGGTCGACCGGGACAAGAGCTGCCCCGTGTGCCGGGCCGTGCTCTTTTTCGAGGAAAATTAAATCTAAATGTCAACTGTCGTCGTCGTCATAGCTGGTCCAAGAGGGGCATGGCGAGCACGGACGCGAGCACAGCTAGCGCCATGGACGCGAGGGCAAGCTGCATATGGCGAGGTGCCAACGCCTCCAGCCACGGCGTGGGCCTAGACCAGCAACATGAGAGATACATTGTCATCTCGCCACAGGGACGTACGCAGTCGGCATCTCCGTGACAGCCGATTGATGCGGAAACGGGTACGTCGTATAGCAGCTCTGCGGGATCTTGTCGCCGTTCGCGAGGCGGCTCATCTCGAGGAGCTGGGTTGGCGGCACGACCTGCAGCAGCCCGTTGGCCTCGGGTGCACCGTGTCAAGGGACCATGCAACAGCGTATCACGATAGCAAGCATGCAATGCAGAAGAAAAGGATATCGACAATGCCTTCGATCGGCATGCTGTGGACGAGCTTGGAGAGGACCGAGTGCATCTCGGCGTAGTCACAAGGACACTGTAGGAGGCGCGCGCGGTGGTGCAAGACGAGCTACTCGACATACGCTCGATCGTGCATCAAGCATAGACGGCGTACCGCGGCCGAGAGGTACATGGAGAAGAGCGGGTGCGAGCAGAGCAGGATGTCGTACAGGCGGCACACGTCGTCGAAGGCCTTGACATGGTGTGCAAACCACGTAATGACCCATGGCAGTGCAAAGTACGGGTCCACCTAATCGTCCACAGTGGACAATCTGCGTGCTTGGAAATACCATCGGGATACGCACCCCGGACGCCATAATGTGCCCGTACAGCTCCGTGTCCTGCGTCTGCAGTAGCGGGTAGAGGACGCTGAAGATCGCGAGCACCGAGTCAAAGTTGGTGCGCATTGGCTCTTGAAAGTACGTGGCACTTGCGCGCACCAGCAGTGGCGTCGCTGCATGCACGCCTGTCGTCAAGAGAAAGACCGCCGCGACGTCGTGGAAGCCTTGGTAGTAATGCAGCTCGACGTTGTCCGCTTCGGCGCTGCAGAGCACGGCGTGGACGAGCGAGTAGAGCGACTTGCGCCGCTTTCGCCGGTTGTGCAGCGTCGACGCGTCGTGCCACATGTCGGGGTTGAGCGACCGATCGACGTCGCGCTGCACCTGGTCGTCGTCCGGGTGGGCGCGGTGGCGGTACCCCGGCACTTGTGGCTTGAGGCGGTGGTCGACGAAGAACGTTTCGAGCGACTCGGGCGTGAAGCCCAAGAGGATCGGCCAAATGCGCTTGCGCAGCTCCTATACCGAGGCGAATGAGCTCGTCGATACGAGCGGTGGTGCCCACCCGCGTGAGAAACCCGCCGGGCGCGAGCGCGAGGCGGCGCCACGTGGCCATGAGGCGGTCCTGAGCGGCCTTGGCCTCCTCGGGCGACGCAGCCGATGCAAGTGCATTCTCATAGTGCTTGAGCGTCGCAAGGATCTTCTGGCGGTGCCCATCCTTGGGCTCGTCAGCTGGCCCCGGCACCCCGAGACCGCGGGCTGCCTTGCGCAGTGCGGCAAGCATTGCTACACTGGTAACCGGATGCTCGTCAGCAACGCCGGACAAGAGTCGTACAAAAAAGCTCTTAACGGCACAAACAAACACGCCACTGCGCCTCAAATGCGTCATCCAACGCTTCCAAGGCTACTAGACCAGCAAAATCCTTAGCAGGGATCCGTATTCGCCATCGTGAGCAGCGCCCGCGCCGCCGTTCCTGCTGTGAATTGAACCTCTGTCCTTCCAAGTCAAACATACACTATATATAACCCTTAAATAGTGTATCTATTATTTAAAACGCAATTAGTGTGAATGAAAGGTTTGAGTCGCGGTGATGACAACTCGGGTCTTGATCACTCCAACAGTAGGTGGACGTAAAGAGCTATCGACTCGACGCCCTCACAATGCAACATTAAATAAAATCACCTCTATTTACATGGACGTATCAGGCAATGCGACGCCGATCACGCCTTCTCCACATACTGCCACGGACGACCGTACTTGGTCTCGAGCGTATATCGGTTCGTATCGACGTCTTGGTGCTTGCGCGAACGGAGGCTGCCGTCGCGGTCTTGACACATGACGCAGTGCCACGGCGTGGTTGGGATCGCGCCTTCCAGCTGCGGAATGAGCGCGACGCTGAACTTTGGTCCTGCGTTGTCGTACGCGTGGATCGAGAGGCGGATCGCATGCGGGTAGCAGTCGTCGACAAGCGCTGAAAACGCCATATTGCGCTGGATCATGCACTTGGCAGCGACGCCCGCCGCCTTGTCGACCGCCGACTTGCTCAGGCTCGCCCATGCCAGCGCCATGTCCTTGGCCAGAAACCGACGAAAGCTCCGGTACGTGGCGAGCAATTCGCTGTCGTCCTTGAGCAGAGTCGCCATGTCCAGCTGGTCGCAGCCGTAGCGCGCAAGAAGCTCGGTATTCGGGTCCTTTGACGTTGTGTAGGCCTCGAGCCGGTCAAATGCGAGGTGCACGAGTCCTTTCTCGCGCGCCAAGTCTTCGAGCGCCGTCGCGTACGCGTCCATCACATCGAGGGAGACGCCGATGATGTCGTTGAAGATGCGCCCGTCGCTGAAGATGACGGCGCGCGCTCCATGGACGTACAGCGGCGCAATCGCAGCGCAGAGGGCGTCGAGTCGCGCGAGCGCCAGTGCCTCGCCGCGGTCCGGGAGGACACCGAGGGTCTTCTCGCGGACGTTGGGCGACTTGAACGGAAACGCGGGAATGACAAATGTGATCGGGCGCTGATGGGTGACGGCATCAGCGACAATGTCTTCCACCCTGAAACGTCCGACCGTTTCAAAACGGTCACCGGGCAGCTGGTGGAGGAGCGGTGTGAGCGCGGCAAGCACCGCTGCAAGCACCTTGTCCTTGTCCACAGGGAGCGTCTTGCGCGTCGGCTCGGTCGCCACGCTCGCGTCGGACGCGACAGCCATTCGGTCCATGTGACACACCATCGTCGCTCAGAATGCAGGAAATCGGATTATGAAGTCAAGGCGCCAGGTATCAGCGTCACACTAGCACTGTATATACCGGTATAGTCACGTCCTGGCAAAGATGTGTCGTTGCATTCCGTACCACACATTGTCGACGGTGCATTTTGCAAGGCAACTTTGCCAGCTGGTGGTCTAGGCAGCGCCGAGGCTTGCGGTCGGCCGCCAATCGGACGCGCTGGTCGATGCTGAATGGGTGCCTGCACGCGTCGTGCGCTGCGGCGTCAACAGCATGGCACAGATCGTGCAGTAGTACGTGCACGTTCAAGCCTTGTACATCCCTTCAAGTGCTCGATACCGGTCGGTTCAGCCCGCGACCTCGTCCCCCAAGAGAGCTAGAACCCTAGTCCTCTCAAAATTGCTACGCTCGATGCCTCTACTAGTTGGCTCAGATTCGGTTAAACAAAATTCGTTCCTTCCAAACATAATCTGAGGCCATATTACGGGATTGAAATCAGAGGCCGCGAAAAAACACACTGGCGTGCACCGTCACAAATGGATACGAGGGGTAGGGGACTTGGGTGCGAATTCACAAACATCTGGCCGCAGCTGCAGCGACGGGTGCTTCAGGATCTGCACTTTTGAACGCGCACCGATGAGTCCACCTCTGTCTTCGCCGCGCCTCGATGCCATTCTGGACGCCGTTCGACCGCTCCTCAACCTCGGCCATGCCAACGACGCGTTCTTGAGCACTGGCCACGAACGGCTCGCGGCGTCGATTGCGGCTGCTGTCGAGAAACGTGCGCCCATCACTTTTGTCTTGCCGGCGTTCCCTTGCAAGTCGCCGAATGTCGCGACCGAGGTACTTGGCGTCCTTCCCGACCGCGGCGAAGAGCTCGCGCTCGGCCGTCTCGAGGCCATGTGCGCCGCCATTGGCGCCGTGTACCCGCCGGGCGCGACCGTCACCATCTTTAGCGACGGCCGCGTCTTCAGTGCGATCCTGGGTGTGCCCACGGCGATCGTGCTTGCGTACAAACAAGCGCTCGTGGCCATGGCTGCAGACCGTGCACACATTGTCTTTGACAGTTTGGACAACCATGCCGACTCGATCGACGCGCTCTTGCGACGGTTTCACGTCGACGCCGATGTCGTCCACGCTCTTTTGCAGACTGACGCAGGCCTGCAAGCGACGCACGCGACGTTTCTTGGCTTTCTTGAGCGCGACTTGCCAGAGGCCACAAGCGACGAGCGACAGGTGGCGGCCAAAGCCATGCTGCAGCGCAACGTCGCCTTTGCTCGCCTTGTCGACGAGGTGTATCCGAGCGCCATTCGCCTCTCGATCCACGCCACGTCGAACGCCGGACATAAATTTGGCGTCCTTCTCGTGCCCCAAGCTCCGACGACATGCCCGCGCACGCCGTGGCACTGCGTCATCTGCGAAGATCTCGACGGCACCGTCTCGGCTCTCCCGCGCCACGAGGTCGATATGACGCGCTACGAACTTACGACCAAACGCGGTCAACCCTGGGGTTTTGTGCAAACGCCCGAGTCGGCCTTGGCGGGCATGGAGGTGACGCTGGCACCGTGGCGCCAAGGTCTTCTGATCACGGCCAACAACACAATGTCGCTGCTCGAGCTGCCAGCACGCGCCTTGCGCTCGCTCGCCACCAAGCACAGTGTGGTGTGCCTTCGCGGGTTCCGCGAAGACGACGACATGGAGGTGGTCGCTGCCCACCTCGGCGAGATCCTCTCGTGGCCCACCGGCAACATCCTCGAGCTCAAGCAAGACAAGCTTGAAGGTCTTGCGTCGCGGTCGCACGAACCCATGGCGTTCCACTACGACGGCATGTTCAAGCGCATTCCAAACAGCAACGTCCTCGGCGACGTGCCCTTGTACCAGTTCTTCCAGTGCTTTGCGCCGTATCCCGACCCGGACGACGATACGAACGGACGCACGCTCTTTGTCGACTCGCGTCGACTTCTCGCGGCGCTGCCCGCCGCCGACGTCGACCGCCTACGGGGCTTGCGCATGATGGCACAGACCGCTGCGAACGCCATGTACGGGTCGGCCAGCCTCACCCACTACGCAGATGTGGTGAGTCACCACCCCGTGACGGGCGAAGAGATTCTGCGCTTCCATGAACCGTGGGGGGCCGACCGCACCGAGTACCAGCCGACGACGATCACGATCCAGAAAAAAAAGGACGGAGGCGCCGAAGACGACAACGGCGAGCAAGCGTGGTGCTTTGAGACGCTGGTGCCAAAGCTCTACGATGCAACGTTTTGCTATTCGCACCGGTGGCAGAAAGGGGACTTTGTGCTCTCCGACAACTTTGTGCAGCTGCACAGCCGGACGCCGATGGCCAAGGTGGGCCGCGAAATCCAGCGGATTCACATCAATTGAAGGCATTCAAACACACCATTCATAGACGATAAGATAGAGTTTGACTGTTTGTTCAGATTTGGGGGATTTCAACTGGTCTCTAGGTGTGGACACGGACAGGACCGCTATCAACGATCGTACTAATGACGTTGTACGGTCGTGCTCATCATACAAAGTGAGCAATCGGCGTGTCGGGAAGCGGTACCGCGGTCTCAAACCGAGGAGGAAGGACGTCATCTGTGGTCGGCTTCTTCGAGTACACTGGCTGCATTCGCCACGTCTTGACGTCAAAGAGCACGAGAGAGCCGCGCACCGAGACCGTCAGGAGACCGCTCAGCAGCGCCGACGCGCGATCCATGTAGTAGACATCGCCAAGCAGCCACCCGTCGTGCGTGAAGAGGTACTTGGCGCCCGCCGTGAGCAGGAGCGACTGACTGCGGCGTAGGGAAGCCGAGACAGGCCACAAGGCTCGCACAAGACCGTAGCAGACGCAGTTGCAGGCGACGATCACCGCAATCAAAAGCAAAACGCGATCGAGAAACCCGATCGCGATGGAGCCTGTCGAGCACTCGACTTGGAAATCGAGCGCCGTAGAGACGCAGCGAAAGTCCATAGTCGCCCGGTGCTCAACAGGCTGAAGGGATGAGAGGCAAGCTGCAATCGACCAAACGAGCAGACTGTTGATGGT